CAGTGGCAGAGTGCCTCTGGGTTCAAACTCCAGTACCAGGAAAATAAACACACAAAACAATCTGCAATCAGGCCAGAATGGCTAGAGCATAGCCAGCAAGGGAGACCTGGCTTTGAGATCCAGCTCTGCTATTTATTGGCCATGGGACTTTGGGCAGGTCCTTTATCTGAGCTTTAGTCTTCTTGTCTGAGAAGTGGAGATATTGCCATACAGAAACAGCTGAAACAATTAGGAGAATGTGAGAGTTCTTTGTAAATTATGCACCATTAAGGTATTCTGTTTCTGTGCAGATCTAAGTGTAACAAATACTGAAAGCATCTGAAGGTGTGTGTGAGTCATGCGGGCTTTTTAGAATTTCAGAATGATGGTTTGGAAAGATAGGGAAGGAAGAGTAAATTCAGCAGGTGTTTGTTTACTCTCAATTGCTAAAAGAAGCTCTTGCTTCACATCTGTTCCTGGCTTTCTCCTCTGCTAGGATCCAAATGGTGTATGTTATTCTCTAGGATAGTGCAGGACCCATCTGCCCTGGTGTAATAGGGTCATGGGTATGGATGCAATTAGATTTTCATTTAAGGCCTGATGGAATCCTTGCTGGCAGTTTGATGGTATTTTCATGGATAGAATTTCCAGTCTTTTGCCTCAAATTTGTTCATTTGACTCCAAAACATTGATTTGTAAATATCTTCTCATGTTTGTAAACTTAGTTCCACACATTTTTTTTTTCTTTCTTTCAGTACTGGGGATTGAACCCAGAACACATGCTAAGCAAGTGTTCTACTTCTGAGCTACCTCCTCAGTCCTTTTGATTTTATTTTGAGACAGCATCTCTCAAATTGCTCAGGCTGGCATGAAAGTTTAGATCTTCTTGCCTTAGCCTTTGGAGTAACTGGGATTGCAGGCATAGGTCACCATGCCCAGCCCACACATCCTTTTTCTGCAATTCTGCAATTTTCAATATGCTGAAAACTTAAAGTTTTGTTTCTAACACATTTGGTGGCAAAATCTGGCCCGACATACATTCATTTTGTGGAAAAACCAAATGTGAAGCTATTGTAGTCTTTGTGTACACCAAAAGTCTTACCTTTAATACAGAAATATAATTGTGCTTATTGTGGGCTTCAGATCTGCATACCTGTATTAAGTGATGAATTTTTCAGCATCCTGTAAACTTCTCATAGAAAAATCTGGGCAGTGCATCTTTTTACTCTGAGTATTATTTGCCTAGTGTGCTTTGAACAAATGAACAATCATTATAGGTACCTCTGTTGAACACAATGAAAGAGAGAAATCTGTTACAATAAAATAAACAAATGAAAACTCTACCAATCAACTGCACATGCTATGATACATATGCTTTTCAGATTGGGAATAATTATATATATTTATATCAATATACAATTAATTATTTATTTAATTAAACGCAATACTTTTAAATTTTGAATTCTTAAAATAATCTAATTTTTTAATAGTTACGATAGTAGCAATTTCATATAACTTGTGTTTATGTGAATCGAATCATTTCTGTTAACTTGACCTCATGTACCTCAAATTGTAGAAGAAGAGACAAATAAGCTTACTACTTTCCTTTTTATTGCTTAGGTTAATTACATTGTGTTCATTCACTTATATAAGGGTTTACTTATGGCTACGCTCAGTGGCATATACCTATAATCCCAGGGACTTGGAACACTGAGATGAGAGGATTACAAATTCACAGCCATCCTCAGTATTAAATAAATAAATAAATAATAGTTTACTTATGGAGAAATTATTTATAGAGACAATTCACAGTGTCAAGTTTGCAATCTGTTTATTGACTCTGAGTACTCTTAAGATGGTGGCAGAGATACTGGGCATCTTGTCAGTGGGGAAGGTCACTGTTAGAACAGGTATTATCACAATGTGGCTTTTTTATTTTACTGAAGCTTTGTGAATTTCAGACAAGGGTCTCCTTTACATGCCTGTGCAGATGTAATAGCAATAACTTTGTAATTTCCTGTCCCTGTACTAAGACAAAGAACCAAGACTAAAAGTGTCAAGAATTGTACACCTGCTATGCTTTGAATGTTTGTGTCTGTTCCCTGAATTAGTTTGTTGAAACCCAATTCCCAATGAGATGGTATTAAAAGGTGGGACATTTTGGGAGGTGATCAGTGTCCTTATAAAGAGGCCCCTGGGAGCTTGTGTGCCCCTTCCACCTGTGAGGACAGAGCTAGAAGGCACCATCTGAGGCAGTGGACTCTCACCGGACAGAATCTGCTGGTGCCTTGAGGATAAGAGTTACAGCTTGTAGAAATGTCATTAATAAATTTCTATTTTTTTAAGGTACCCAATCTAAGACATTTTGTTATAGTGGCCCAACAGACTAAGATAAAAACCAAACTAGAATTGTGCATGAAGAACAATTGAGGGGATTTGGTAGAGATTTTCCTCAATCCTTTTTGTTCTTCTGGCCCAGTCATTGGTCATTCTTCCCTCCCTCCCTCCCTCCCTCCCTTCCTTCCTTCCTTTCTTTCTTTTTGAGCTAGGGAATGAACCCAGGGCCTAGTGCTTGCAAGTCAAGCACTCTATCAACTCAGTTATATCCAAATCCCTGGCTCAGTCATTCTGAGTGCCTACTTCTATCAAGAAAGGAAGAAAGAAAACACACAAATGAAAAATGAGGGGAAGAGTTAAATAGGAAAGTGTTAGTGATAGTAAAATATGATGAAAAGAGTTTAAGCCCTTATTATAAAGCCAGAGTGACCCTAGAGTCTAAATAACTTCAGTGTTCACCCCCCCCCCGTACTAGGGCTAGAACCCAGGGCACTCTACCACTGAGCTACATCTTCAGCCTTTTCTGTTTTTTATTTTGAGGTAGGGCCTTGATAATTTGCTGAAGTTGTCCTTGAATTGAGATTCTCCTGCCTCAGCCTTGTGAGTCTCTGAGATTGGCTCAATGTTTGATATTTATAACACCTTTGCCTCATACATTTTTCTAAATAGCAAGAGCTGTGTAGAGGAACTGGGGATGTTATCCAGTGGTAGAACACTTGCCTAACATGCACAAGACCGTGGGTTTGATCTCCACCACAGTGTATATGTGGTGGGTGCTAAGTAGGTTAGATAACTGTTCCTGAAGACAGGAACCTCAATAGGACAGGACACATATATCTTCTGTTCATAAACTGGCCACTGTTACTTCAAGTGAGAAAGCAGCAGGGAAGTATAGACAGAAGAACAGTATGAGTTTTGATAGAGAATGCCTTGTGGTGGGTACTGGTGAGAGTCTTAAAATTAAATCTCTGAATTCAGTGCAAAGAATTTAGAAATAGACTAACGGACTTGAGATCAGGTATTGACTCTGTTAACTTTATAGTTGTGTGACTTCTGACTTGCTTTTTTTCTCTAAATCATAGTTTACTTAGCTCCAAATTAAGTACATGAATATCTACTTTGTGTGAGAATTAAATTAGATGTTCCCTGAAGAGTACCTAGCATCTAGCTGATCATCAATAAGTTGAACTACTTTGATTAATATATTTTCAGGGCTCTGCAATATTAATTTCTGGGCTATAGGCTCTCAGGGGTAGGCAGAAGATTAGGCAGAAAAGAGGAAGAAGGAAAGTATGGGAAATAAAATGAACAAAATTAGCCATTCTCAAGCAATCTGAATAGGAGCTCCACCATTTCCATACACCACAGTAAAACTCTAAAAGCAGATGGCATTGCCAAATGCACAAAGTTTTGAGAGGAGGATAGGATCCAGCCCAGGGAACTTTCTAGAAGAGAAAAGTTTTGTTTGATGTGAAGGAAAAGAAGGAAGTGGAGGGCTGGAGGTATAACTCAGTGGAAGAGCACTTGCCTAGCTGTGAGAGGTCCTGGGTTCCATCTCTAGCACCATATCATCCCCTCCCCCCAACAAAAACAAATTGGCTCTGGGGAGGGTAGAGTCAGGATACTGAAGTAGGGTGGTGGTGGTGATGGTAAGGAGGACCTCAATAAATGTTCTAAGAAATAGGACCAGGAATCCTGAAAGTGACATTGGAAAATGAAGAAGTGTGAAAGGAGAAAATTAAAGCTACTGGTGGATTTAAAGGGTGAGCAGTTTGTACTGTGAGCATAATTGGAGCCCCTGTCTGCAGTCTCAGATGCCTCTGTCCCAGTGAATAATAGATTTTGGTTACATTGATTCAACTTGCATGGGAAGGTTTTTAAAAATAAATTCTAAAAATGATTTGTAATTTTCACACTTGTGAAAATTTTGAACAAATGTTGAACAAAAAAGTTATACAATAATTCATAACCCAGGGGCAATGATCTATTTTCTTCTAGCGTTTTTTAAATTTTTTTTATTAGTTGCTCAAAACATTACAATGATCTTGACATATCATACATTTGATTCAAATGGGGTACGTAATCAATCTTATTTTTCTGCGTGTACAGATCGCAGGATCACATTGGTTATACAGCCACATTTATACATAGGGCCATACTAGTGTCTATTGTATTGTGCTGCCCTTCTATCCCCCCCTCCCCCTTACACCATCTTATATGTAATTTTGCATAACAATGAGGGTCTTCCGTGCAATTCCCCTTCTCTCTCCCATTTCCACGCACCTCTCATCCCTATTTAATGGTAATCTTCTTCTCATGCTCTTCCTCCCTGCTCTGTTTTGGGTTGCCCCCCTTATATCAAAGAAGACATTCTGCATTTCTTATAGCTTTTTAACATCTGTATTTACCATAGTTGTACATATCCCATATCTTATCTCCCCTCCCCCAAATTCTCACACTTTCCCATATCAATATCATTTGATACTCTTTCAGACATGTTTTCAAAACTGTTCATTTGAATGGGCACATTCTAATTTATGGAGTCAGTGTTTGTGATTTGGACATTGATGTTGTTTCCTTTTCTGATTTAGCATCAGCAGTATGGCAATGAATATCACTGAACTTTCAATTTCATGGACTATCTTTTCAAGGAAGAGTCTTTTCTTTTATATCCCTCATTCCAGGAAAGACTTCAGGGAAGCCAGAAACAAGTTGCAAGAATGAATGACCAGATAAGGTAGGTGTGTGTGTGTGTGTGTGTGTGTGTGGTATTGGGGTTTGAACCCAGGGACGCTCTACTGGCTACATTCCTGGCTCTTTATTTTATTTTATTATTAATTTTTTTAGATGTTTATAGACCTTTATTTTATTTTTATATGCGGTAGTGAGATTCGAACCCATTGCCTCACACATGCAAGGCAGTGTGCTACCTCTGAGCCTGAGCCCCAGCCCCCTTTATTTAATTTTTAATTTTCTTTTTTTGATGCTAGGGATTGAACCCAGGGCTTTTTGCATGTGAGGCAAGCACTCTACCATCTGAGCTATATCCTCAGCCCTTTATTTTTAAGACAAGGTCTAAGTTGCCCAGGCTGGTCTTGAACTTGTGATCCTCCTGCTTCAATCCCTGAAGTGTGGGATTATAGGTGTGTAACTCTATGCCTGGCTAGATAAGGCTCTTGAAAGCTGGTTTGTGGCTCCTGGGAGTTCACATGCTCAGGTACTCCCCTGTAGAATGGACTGCTGAGTCTAGGAAGTGAGTACTCTGAGCAAACAGGAGCACTGAGGGATAGTGTACTGCCAGACAGACAGACCAGTCTGCAGAGTGGGCAGTCAGGAAACTTCCCCAAGCAATATGGGAAACTTCTCATCATCATGACATTTTCCCTGGTGTTAATAATTTTAACTTAGTTGATAACTATATTTATTTGGTTCTGTCCTGCTGAGAGGACAGGCTACTCAGAGGAGGGTGACTATCATTTTGAGTAGTTAGAAATCCTTCCCATTGTCTTCTGTTCTTTTCTAGTTCAATGGCTCTCAACCTCTCCCTAGAGAACATTCTGAAACTTCAGGTTTCCTTTCTGTAATTACAGTGGTGGAGGGGGGCACTATTGTCATTTATTGGCAGGGCATGGGCATAAGCTATTCTTCAAAGCACAGTTTGCACAATGAAGAGTTGTCCTTCATCCAGATTCTCAGAAGTCTCCTAGGACATTCATGTACGTAAAAACTCATGTTTAATTATCTGAGTCTAGAACTTAATACAATTTAAAAAAAAAATTGGTCTAAATATAAGTGAACTTTCTAGGAATGCAATTACTGTTCTGTGTGAATGTAGAGAAGATTGACTTCGCTACCAGGAGTTGCTCAACATTTCATTAAGTCTTTTCATTGATGGCAACATGCTGGAGGTAGTTGAGTCACCGTCTCTGCACCTGTATTAGCTTGTGTTGGTAGCAGTTACATCTCTGTGAATCTATGGATGGGTGCAAGCATCCCCCTGCATGTAGTGAAGCTGGGCCCTGCACTCACACATTAAAATAATATTTATGTTATTTTATTACAAGTAACTGTTCTTTCATCCCCCCTTTATATTACAGCTAGGGAAGCATTGTGATTTTTTTTTAAGTCATGTATGTAGGGAAGTTATACCATCTATGAATTTCAATTCATGATGGGAAGAGGGTCATTACAAAATGCTTATAAAAAGGGTTGAAGGTTGAGAGCCTGGGTTCTAGGTTCTAGTCAGTCTCTCAGCATTTGGCCAGGAAGCTTTCTTTCTTCTTTTTTTTGTTCTTCTCCTTTCCCTGCCCAAATTCAGGTCCATAATCATCAACAACCACGACCGTAACAACACTGCACACGCCTTCAGGAGCTGTCAAAAGGCCTGCACTTCCCTACCATCTTTAGAGCTTCCAGTTGGAACTTAGACAAGAATTATTGATTGCCAGGCTCTGTTGGAGTCAAGAATATTGGCTTCCGCCCATCTGGAGGTTTCTATTCCTATGACCTCCTTACCCCGCGCTTTTCTGTATTTTAATTTCTCTCCTTGATGTCCTCCTTCAATCAGCCCCAGCCCTTCACTCCACCGAGCAGGCTAGGCGAGTGGCAGCAGAGCTGTTGTACCATGGAGTCGCTCTGGTTTCCAGCTCTCTCCCCCACCCAACTCTTTTCGTGCTTAGTTAGCTCCCGGCGGCCCCCTTCGTCCCCGGTATCTTTCTGACCCTGGCTTTTCCTTTCTCTCCCTTGGTCTCACTTCTCCTCCTGGCCCTTGGCCTTTTTCTTCCCTCTCTCCTCTCGTCAGGATCCAGTGTTGCCTTCTCTTTGTGCAACCGTCTTTCTCCACCTTCATCCTAAGCTCCGTCTCAGCGCCAGCTCCCCTGGTCTTTGATTGGGGGCGTTTCACCTCCACCCCGGTTTCCAGCAGTCTCGCCCCTAGGTCGCTCGGCGGTGCTCTGTCCCCACCCGTGCGCGTGAGCACCAGTTTCCCCCTTCTACCTCTCAGCCCCGCGCCTAGCCACCGCTCCCTCCCCCCGCGCTGTGGGCGGTCCAGGGCGGGGCCGGGATCCGGGGCGGCTCCCGGGGCTCGGGTTGTGGGAGGCGCCCTCTCCCTGGTCTCCCCCTCTCTTCCCCCCGCCCTGTCTTCCCCTGCACCCTCCTTCTTCCCTCCGCCCGAGAGCTTTCCCGGTCCCCGGCGCCGCCTCCTTCCCTCCCGGCTTCGCGCTCCCGCGGCCGCCGCCGCCCCGGGGAAGAAGAGACGGGGGTGGGGTTTGGGGGAAGCGAGAGAGGAGGGGAGAGACCCTGGCTGGGCTGAAGCCCGGATTCGAGGGGAGGAGGGACAGGAGGAGGGGAAAGGTGGAGGAGAAAGGAGGGGGGAGCGGGGAGGAGCGGCCGGGCCTGGGGCCTTGAGGCCCGGGGAGAGCCGGGGAGCTGGGCCGGCGCGCCGAGGTAAGAGCCAGGGCCCCGGGGAAGCAGGGCTTGGAGAGGGGCGCGCGGGGGAGGGCCGGCGGGCGCAGGGCCGAGCCGGTGATCGGGGCTGGGGGAGAGGAACTGCGGGGATGGAGACGGGGAGTGATAAGGCGGCCGAACCCGGGAGCGTGGGTAAACCGGGCTCCAGCGAGCCGCGGGGGCCGGGGGAGAGGAGGTGGTGAGAGGTGGAGTCCCGGGAGGGTGGGGGGCCGAGGGAGGCAGGAGGAGGGTGGGGACAGGCTTTCTCTCCTCCTCTCCCCCCACCCTGTGCGGGGCTCCGCCCCCGCCTCCTCCGCTGGGCGCTCTCCTCGTCCTTAAACTGAGCGGGGTCGGAGCTCGTAAGGCTTCCGGAGGGAGGCCAGGTCGCCTCCCCGGGCCGGGCCGGGCCAGGTCGGGTCGGGCAGGGCCGCTCCGGCGAGGCTCGGTCCGGTCCTCACTGTCGCCTCTCACTTAGATGCTGCTGCTGCTGCTGCTGTTGGCGCCTCTCTTCCTCCGCCCCCTGGGCGCTGGCGGGGCGCAGACCCCCAACGCCACCTCAGAAGGTGCACCCTTCGGTGATTCGGGCCCTCATCCGACCCTACTTACCCTTTCCCTTCACCTCCTCCTTTCTGCTCCTCATCACTATTCCCTCAGCCCTCTAGAGCATCCTGATAGCCAACCCTTACTCCGCGCCACTATACTACTCCTGACCTCCTTTCTATCACCCCACATTACTACTTAGCACCCCCTTTCTCTGCCCCACATTACTAGGCTATACCACCTTTCTGTGACCCCGAATCATTTTCTCAGACCCACTGCCCTTTCCCACATTGGCCCCACTTTATTACTTAGATGGTCTTGTAAGGTCCCCCTCTTTTTTAATTTAAATCAAATATCCTCGTTTAGCCCCCGTTTTTTAAACCAAGCTCCTGCCATATTTCATATCCTTTACGATTTCTTAATTGCTTTTCTCCATTACCCCCAACCAGCATTATTCCCTCCCAACTGGTGGGCTCTGTCGTCAGCTTTAACTTAGCCCATTACTCACTGTCCTTTAGCTCAGGGTTCTGTATCTGCACTCTCATCTGCTGTCTAGTCCCTAACCTCCCCCTAGTTCCCAGCCAGTCCACTGACCACACCCTGCTTTCCCCTGCCTCCCCAGCAGAAGTTGGGCTTTCCCTCTTTCCCACCATTCCTCTCAGTATTGCCTCCCCAACTCACCCTTCAGGTTGCCAGATCATACACCCTCCCTGGGAAGGGGGCATCAGGTACCGGGGCCTGACTCGGGACCAGGTGAAGGCTATCAACTTCCTGCCGGTGGACTATGAGATTGAGTATGTGTGCCGGGGGGAGCGCGAGGTGGTGGGGCCCAAGGTGCGCAAGTGCCTGGCCAACGGCTCCTGGACAGATATGGACACACCCAGCCGCTGTGGTGAGTAGCCTTGGGAGGCCCCACCCCTTCTCAAGACCATTAATTACTTTTCCTGCCTTAGGTTTAGCATTACTGTTTCCAAGTCAGCTTAACCAAATTTACAAATACATTTAATGAACAACTACTATGTAAGATGTTGCTGGGTAGTTAGAGGTGGCAAAGCACGCAGCTTGCACATTTCATTTCATCCTTTCCTTAGGCCAGTGATCATTGGATGAAATAACTTTGATTTTTTTGTCTTATGCTATTCTCTTTAAGGATTTTTAGTAGCAGATTATGCCAAAAAAATGCTAAAATGATTTCAATACATTGCCCAACACCTGTCCATTCCAATGACTATATGCCCAGGGAACAAAAGACAATTTAATATTAACCAACTATATTAAGAAAAGCAAATCTGATTGTGCATTCAAAGTTATCCACACATTTCAAAGATAGAGAACCGCCCACTATAGTGGATTGTGGAGAGATCCCATTTTGTGTGCTTATAGCTCCATCTTGGGTTCCTACAATGGAAATACTTTTTCTTGTTTTCTTTTGAGAATGTGTGGATGCTTTCAGGGTTAAGGGGGGAGTAGAAGGTAGGGATGCTAATCCTTTTCACAGCTTATTTTCTGTAGAGTAAGATACTGTGGGATCGAACCCAAGCCCCCTGCTCTCTGTTAAGGGAAAAAAGCCTTCTCCAACTTGCATCTCTTCTCATTTTCCTATCTCTCCACAGTCCGAATCTGCTCCAAGTCTTATTTGACCCTGGAAAATGGGAAAGTTTTCCTGACGGGTGGGGACCTCCCAGCTCTGGACGGAGCCCGGGTGGATTTCCGGTGTGACCCCGACTTCCATCTGGTGGGCAGCTCCCGGAGCATCTGTAGTCAGGGCCAGTGGAGCACCCCCAAGCCCCACTGCCAGGGTGAGGGGAATAGCTGCCTGCATGCAGCTGATGAGGATGCTTGTGCAAGAAAGGGAGCGGGGTGGAGTGGGAATAGATGGTGGGAAAGGATGGGGTCCTATGAAGAACTTGGAGGAGGGCCTTGGGAAGGCAAAAATGAAAGTCCAATTTTTTCCACCATCCACTTGCCTCAAACTTCTGCTATCCCCAGTATTCAATTTCCCTATGTTGGGGGATGTCCTTTCTTTGCTTTCCTCTTTCTGTAAAGTCCCTGCTTCCAGTTCTTGGGACTTACATTTTCTTTTTTCCTTTATGAATCGAAACTTCCCTTACCTTCACAAGGTTTAAATACTCCAAGTTTCCCTAGATCCATTCGCTTTCTCTAAATTTAGAACTTTGTATGCATCACCCTCTTCTAGAATTGACTCGTCACCATTCATTCTTTAATTGAATTTTTGTAAATATAAAGTCATGCACAATGTAGAAAAATTGGCAAGAGGAGTTCCAAGAGTGGAAATATATCAGGGTAAAATGATTTAAAATTGGGTGCAGAATTATCAGAACATTGACAACTCAGAGATGGAATGGGAAGACTATAGTCCTTTTCTGTCCCTCCTAGACAATTTCCAGCATTCCCTGAGGGAATAATTTTTGTGTTTACCACCTTTTTTGCCATCTAGTTCTGCAAACTTCTCCTTTTTCTGGGCACTCAAACTCTCCTTCTGCAGTCTTCTCTTCTAGAATGTAGGCATCTATTCCTATGCCTCATGCTTCTGCTACTCTGTAGACTATTTCAAGATCCTTGGCCTTGTCTTTCTTCAATTAACTCAAGTTATTCCACTTCTAGTTTACCATTCCATCCCGGAAATGGCTGTCCTATCCAGGGGTGGATTTACTTTTAAGCTAACAAAGCTTAAGCTTCAGGGTTCCTCACTTACCAGGCCCTTTTCCTGTGCTCTAATAATGTAGTGGGCTTTAAGAATGTGTTCACATGCTACTTCACTTTTGTCAAAATTGCAAAAACTAGGTATTTTAACAGTAATTGCTTAAAATCCATTGTAATTTTTTTCTCAGAGACCCTTATACTTTGTAATATTCAGGCTCTACAAAACCAGAATCTGTCCCTGCCTTAACTGTTGCTCCTCCTGTCTCAATTTCTATGTCCTATGAAAAATAAAGGAAGAAAACCAACAAGTCCTGACCCCCAGCCCCACCTTGCTCTTATCCCCAGGCACCCTCCCCTCAGAATCGCAGGCTTCTGCCCTCCCCCGTCTTCGGCATGGAGAGGTGTGGGAGGGGGCTGGGGATCAGGCCTGGGAAGCTGGGCGCCAGTGGTAACTCTTCTCTGATCCCGGTCTTTCCTGCTGCCAGTGAATCGAACGCCACACTCAGGTGAGATCAGAAACCCTAATCGCGTGCACAGCAATCCCTTTACCCCTAAGTCTTCACCTTCCACCCGCAGGAGTTCTGCCCCTAGGCTATGGATGTCCTCCTTCACCCACCTCCCCCCACCCACCCGTTTGCGACCGTCCCCTTCTTTCCCTACCTGTTTCCTGCCTCCAGTCCCGGTTTTCCGCGGTCCCTCCCATCTCCTTGCTTGGCTGCACTTCCCTGGGCTCCACCTCCTCCCAGATTCTGCTTCTTGGCCAAATGGCAGAGCCCCGGCAGGGGGCGGCAGCGTGCTGTGAACCTGAGTTTCCACCTCGTCTTCCCCATGGGGTTCCTTCCGACCTTCTCTGGAACCTTTTCCTGCTTGCCCCCTTTTTAGGATTTCACCTGATGGACTCCATCAGCCCATTTCACCCACCTCCAACCCTGGCCAGGGCCTCTCACGCTTCCCCCAATTCTTTCCTTCCTATACTCCTCTTTATTCTCAGTTCTGTCTCCCATCACCCTTTCTCATCTACCTGCCCCATGTTCCCTTCCTCTATCCCCAACACTGCCCTCTATACCAGTCTTCCCTTCCTAACCCATTTCTATCTTCCAAAACTCTTCCCACCTCTATCCCTCTCTCAGCACCCTCAGTTCATATCTCCTTTCAGATCTCGGACGCCAGCCCCTTTTCTGTCCTGTCCCATTCTCCTTCCCTTCCCCATCCCTCTCTCGCTGCTTCAGCCTCTCGCGTTGCTCCCTCCGCCCACCCTGCCCTCCTGGCACGCTCCATCTCCTCTTTTCTCCTCCCACTAATATCCCCTTGGGTGGGTGAACCTCTTCCTTTCCTCCATCCATCCCTATACCTCGAGAGGTTGCACCCTCTTTCCCTAACCCTCCCCTCCTTTCTGGCTGTGGTTCCCACCTCGAGCTTGCTTTCATCCCTGCCCCCTTCCTCCCGCCCCACCTCCTGCCCCCCCCCCACCACTGCCGTGCCGCTCGCTCGTGACGTCAGAGCCCCCTCCCAGCCCCACATCTCCCTCCTCCTCCCCTTCCTCGGTCAGTCAGTCCGCGAGGAGAGTCCGCGGTGGCGGTAGCGGTGGCGGGAGTAGGAAGCCCACCTTCCCTGCTTCCCTGGGGGCCCTAGCCCCCTCCTCCCCACAAAACCGGGGATGGAGGTGCCTGCCCGACACCCCCTCAGCAGCCCTCCCCAGAAAAAGTGTCCCCCCTGAGCTCCCAGCTCCCCAAGCTGCCACCCCCGCCCCCTCCCTGCCATGGGTCCCGGGGCCCCCTCTTCCCGAGTGGGGTGGCCACTGCCTCTCCTGGTGGTGATGGCAGCTGGGGTGGCTCCAGTGTGGGCCTCTCACTCCCCTCATCTCCCACGGCCTCACACGAGGGTCCCCCCGCACCCCTCCTCAGAACGACGCGCAGTGTACATCGGGGCGCTGTTTCCCATGAGCGGGGGCTGGCCAGGGGGCCAGGCCTGCCAGCCCGCGGTGGAGATGGCGCTGGAGGACGTGAATAGCCGCAGGGACATCCTGCCGGACTATGAGCTCAAGCTCATCCACCACGACAGCAAGGTAGCACCCGACAAGGGAGTGGGTGAGAGGTGGGGGCTTAAGGGGGCAAGGGGCCAGCTGTGTTAGCGCCTGAGTCTGAGTCGCTTTGAGATTGGGAGGCAAACCCCTCCCTTGTGTGACTAGCAGGAGACGGACTGGAAGTGCAGGAGCTTGGGGAGAATATCAGGGGCTGGAGGTTCAAGATGAGGGTCTGGGGGTTCAAGATGGTTAATCATGGTTAATCACGCTGTAAGGCAAACCCTTTGCCCTGCAGTGAGAGACTCATGGAAGTGCAGGGGTGTTGAGAAAACTGGTGATGGGTTTAGGGTCCTAGCTAATACTGGCCTTCTGAGGGAGTAAACTAACCCAGGACTGGGTTGGGGGCAGGAGGGAATGTCAGAGGTGGGGAGCTGTATCAGGGGTTTACATTTACCATGGTAACAAGGTAAGTGTGGTGTATGTTAAGGATGGAAGGAATAGGGAGAGAATGAGAAAATTTTGAGGGACTTGAGAGCTCTAGTTTATTTATCAAAACAAACAGGAAGGTAGCTTCTAGCCCTACCTGACTCCTTATCCCTCCATCCCCAGTCCTGTTGAAGATTCCTGGACTGTGAGAATGTATGGCTTATAGCTGTTGGGGAAGGATAATGGTTTAGAGGTGGACAGAGACACTGGAGGATAAATTGGATTAGGGGTCCACATGAAGAGCCCCCACCATAACATGGTGATGGAGAGGAATCCCTAATACAGGGAGAGGAAAGAACAGAAAAGAAAGGAGTGGGGGAGGGGGGCAAAGAGGCAGGATGGGGATAGTGAGGAATCCTGGGGCATCTTGTGGAGCTTGGGGGTCCTGATTTTATCTTCTCTTTTAGCATTATGGCCTTTAGATGTGAGATGTAGGGTTAGAGAGGAGAGAGAAGGAAGAGGGGAAAGGAAGGAAATTTGGGTCTAGGGGTGTTAGGGATGATCTCTGATAAGATTTCTTTACCTTCCCACTCCCCTACATGAATAATTGGGTAATGGAGAAGGTATGACACAGAGAAGGAAGGAAATTTGGGATCCTCCTAAATTTCTCTGACATGTGGCTCCAGAGATTTAAGGGACTAGGTTAGGGAGGTAGGGTACAGTGGGTGAAGATTTGGGGATTTTACACTTGGAGTGTGCTGAGGATTTATATCCATTCTCTAGAACATCAATATATATCTAAAGTAAGTGGGGGAAAAGGAAAGGGGATAGAAGTGGGGCTGCAGGCAGGGTGCTTGGGGAGAGGAGAGCATAAGGATTGGTAGGCATTTGGAGACAGAGCTTAAAATCCTTTTGGACTGTTACCTTCTCTGTATTTCTCAAATGTCCGTATACATAAGAATCACCAGAGGGGTTGTTAAAAATACAGATGCTAACTCCTGGGTCAGGGAGGAATCCCAAGAATTATCTACATTTTTACCAACAGAAATTCTGCTTGAGTTGTAGCTAACACTAGGATGCCTATGGAAAGAGCAGCAGGGTTCAGGAAAAGAATTAGGTATTAGGGTAGGGAAGGCATGAAGAGAAATAGAGGGTCACATCTATCTGAGGGGTCAGACTTGGGAGACTTCGAGAGTTTTTGGTCAGGGGCAGGGGTATGAGTGTGGGGGAAAAAGATTGGGAGAGATGGGGGCAGGCTTTATGAGGGGGCATCACAAGGAAGTAGGGGAGGCCCGTCTGTGAGCTTGAATTTACCCACCATGATAGGTGATTCCCTGAAGTGTTGGGGAGCAGCTGGGGGACCCAGGAGAAGGCAACTAGAGAAGTTAGCAGAGGCATACAAGGAGGGGATGAGAAGGCAGAAACTGGAATGTGTCCACTAGAATGTGCCTCTTTTCTGCCTGCAAGTCCAGATCCTTGCAAGAGCAATAGGAAGAGGGAGAACTTCATGGAAAGGGGATCTGCCATGATGTCCACATGTTCTTATTAACCATTTCTTTAGACAGGAAGTAGAGGGGCACTGAGGAGGCTTTGGAGAAGCTGGGGGCAAGATCTGGAATAATAGATGCTGAGAAAATTCAGGATGTTTGGACCCCAGAATAGTAAAGATATATTGAGATGCCCAAATGGGAGACATGAAGAGAAAGTCTTCAAAGCAGTTGAGCAATACCCTGAGCAGGGGGTGAAGGTGGGGTGGGCATCAGGGCTCAGTGTTCTCTAGCTTCCACCAGCTTCCCCTGGCTCCCCTGGCTCTCTGGACTCTAACTTCCCACTGTGTCCCAAATGTCAGGCCTCAGTGGGGAGTGAGCAGGCTCTAGGGAGCTTTCTTTATTTCCTTTCTACTTGTACCCCCCCCCCCCCCAGTTCACCCTCCCCAGTTGCCTGTGTCTCCTGTCTGTTTCCCCTCTTCCCAGGCTCCCCACTGGCTGCCATTTATTCTCCACTTCCTTTGGGTCTCCTGCAGCTTCTGAAATGTCACATTTCAGCAGGAGGGGAATAGGCAGTGGGAGACCCATGACTGTCTCTCCCTCCCCCCCATTGCCACTCCTCCCAGCCTCCCTTTCCTCTCTAGCTTTCTGCATTACTTACTTTACACAGTGCCATGCCTCTCTTTTAGACACCCCTGAAATCATTCATTCTTGAGATCCCCATTCTGTTTATTCTCCCTGTTCTTTCCTCATCTTAGATTCTTTCCTACTTCTACCCTTGAGTGTTGTTTTTTTTTTTTTTTTCTAATGGACCTGTCAATTGTCAGGGCCCAGCAGGAGGGGATGGGTGAGCTGAGCAGACCCCCTACTGGTCTTGTTCCTGTTCTCTCTTGTTTACTTATCACTAGCCCTGAAAAGAGGGAGGAAAAAAAATGAAGGAGAAAAGAGGGAGTTCTTAGAGGTGAAGGAAGAAATTTCATAATATGATTTTTGAGGAAGCTGTCTGGGAACCTGGAGAGAATTTGTGTTTCTGCAGACTTTTCTTCTCAGGGATGTTTGGAACATAAAAACATGGGGTGAAGGGCAGGGGTGACAGGAGAGGTGGACTTGGGGATGTCAGCGGATGAACTAAAGGAGAAAAGAAACATATCCATGAATACTGATATAGGGGTATGCAGGAGAGGAGAGGGATTCAGTGCCAGATGGAAGACAGAGAATAGAGGTAATTGAAAGAGGAGAAGCAAGAAACTTGACAAGAAGAGATGTCAGGGAGAAGAATATGGTAATAGTGATGAAAGTGGGTAATTGAAGAAGGAACTAGGTTGTCCAAGAAAGATAAGACAGTTGAAATAGAAGGTTAAGAGCCCTGAGGGGCTCCCCAACCCTTCCTTCCTCACTCAGTGTGACCCAGGCCAAGCCACCAAGTACTTGTATGAACTGCTCTACAATGATCCCATCAAGATCATCCTCATGCCCGGCTGCAGCTCTGTCTCCACGCTTGTGGCTGAGGCTGCCAGGATGTGGAACCTTATTGTGGTAAGCAAGGGTATGGGGGTCAGAAGGGGTGTGGGGGTGGTTTCCTTTTGGGCTGTACTAAGGGAGGATTGTAGGTTTGGGTTTTAAGAGGATTGAGGGAGGGACCTACTTCCAGGATCCAGAACCCTCTTCAGACCTGAGCTGGTTGGCCTCCCAGCAGCAGTGCTTAACCATACTTAAGCTGATCTCAGTCTTCATCAGAAGGAACTGGGTAGTTAGATGAGAGAAGGAGCATCCTAATTGTGAGGAGTGTGTGGGTCTTTGAGAATCACTTTTCCTAGGACAAAAGTGAGGAGGTTTGGAGAGAGTGGAGGAGAAAACTCTAGAGGCAAAGAAGGGATCAAAGGAATTCTTAGTAGCCCTCAGTGGAGTCCATTCTCCTTGTCCCCTTAGCTTTCCTATGGCTCCAGTTCACCAGCCCTGTCAAACCGGCAGCGTTTCCCCACATTCTTCCGAACACATCCATCAGCCACTCTCCACAATCCTACCCGAGTGAAACTTTTTGAAAAGTGGGGCTGGAAGAAGATTGCCACCATTCAGCAGACCACAGAGGTCTTCACTTCGGTGAGGAGGGACGAGGGAGAAAGTAAAAGGGGGCATCGACTCAAAGTCAATGGAGAGAGATGTGACATAGCATTCGTTGTGGGGGAAGATCTTGGTTCTTTATTGAAAGAGAACCCATTCCAAGTGGGTTAAGTGCATGTACTTTCCGTAGCTAAGGGAATGAGTGAGTTGAGTTTTTGGGATCCTCTCCATTTTTTTGATATTATAATTCTTTTTCCTTTTGATGCTGTATTCCCCAGACAGATAGGCTCAAAATGACATTCAGTTCTGTTAAAGTAGGTTCAATCCCAAATTGAGTCAAGAGGAGAGAAGGAATATAAAATAGGAACCCAGGAATGTAGTAGATTCTAAAGACACTGGGTGTGTGTGAGAATGGGGACAGAGAGGTGGAGCTACTGGTTGGGAGGGGGATGGGGCACAGAGCGAGAGGTAGATGCAGACAGACAAGAGACATAGGTCTGGTAGTTAACACTGGGAGAGAAATGCCCATAGACATAGAGGTTGAAGGAGCCTCAGGAAATCTGTGGAAATAGAGAAGAAATACAAGGCTCTACATCCAAAGAAAGCAGTCTGCTCCCTCCCCTCTATTGTATTCTTTGGGTCCTCCACCCACTCGAATGTTCAGTGGCCCTTTAATCCTCCTTCCTCACTTTTTCTCAGTGACTCAGGCTGTTCTCTGATCCTTTAGTCTGTCTGCTTACCTGCCTCTGGGTCTTTTTTGGGTTCTTCTGTTTTCCCCTTAGGGGTAGAAGTAGGGTGAGTGGTAGGAGTGAGGTCAGTGGAGTGGCTTCCTTCAGACACAGACCTGAGGAAGGGCTCATTATGTGCGGTTCCACTTGGGAAGCCACCTTCTAAGACTGCAGATGCTTTCCTTTGAACTCTTCTAGCTTTGGGGACAGAGAGGTTGGAGGAAGGTTCAGAACACTGCTCTGTCACTCTTGAGATTTCAGTCCCCAGTTAAGGCAGTTAACATCTCTGCTTTACCCCATCGCACGCCCCATGTTTTTCTTATACATTTCTCGTTCCCACCCAAGACTCTGGATGACCTAGAGGAAAGAGTGAAGGAGGCTGGAATTGAGATAACTTTCCGCCAGAGCTTCTTCTCAGATCCAGCCGTGCCTGTCAAAAACCTGAAGGTGGGTTGGCCAGGAGTGGTGGGCTAGGCCTGTGGAGGGGCTGGGTTGGAGAACCAAGGTCTCCTGGAAAGGAGAGTCAGGTGGGGACTGACTGATTCTGTGAGGCAGCAGTGTCTCCTGGGGAGATTTAGCTCCATCTTCCAGCTGACATTTATCCACTGCCCATTGAACATTACTCTGCACTAAGCACTCTGGGATGGGAAATCAAAGCTGTGAAAGCGCCTGGCTTAGCCCCTCAGGCGCTCCTAGGTGTCCCTCAGGAGCTCTGTTTCTGTCTCCGTTTTATAGCGCCAAGATGCCCGAATCATCGTGGGACTTTTTTATGAGACTGAAGCCCGGAAAGTTTTTTGTGAGGTGAAGTTGGAATCTGAAGAGGGAGGGGGACTGGGTGGGCTTCTTGCCTTGGTGTTTTCCCAGAGTCTCCTCATTGCATCTTTGCTGAAATTAATAGCAAATGATCTGAGGTGATGATTAATATGATGTCTCTATCTGTTGGCTCTGACTTTATCCCTTCTCCACACACACACAAATTGCACACACCACACACTCCCTGCACACATGTTATATTTAATTTTCCTCCCTTTTTAAAAAAACTTCCCTGAGTAGTCCATGAATGCCATCTCTTCTGACTGACTGGAAAGGCTACTCAGAGGGTCTGGGGAAGAACTTGGAACTTGAGACTTTCCTATCACTGTTAAGACTTGTGGATTACTAAATAAGCACTCTACCACTGAGACATGCCCCAGCCTTAAGACGTGTACATTTCTTTTACTTATTCTGTTGCTCTTCTGTGATTTCTAATAGACTGAATAGCTACCATTGAGATAATACAAAAAACAACAGCCCCCCCCCCACCAAAAAAAAAAAGCCCTAAACTGTACCCCAGCCGCCTTCTTTGTGTGCAGGTGTACAAGGAACGTCTTTTTGGGAAGAAGTATGTCTGGTTCCTCATTGGGTGGTATGCTGACAATTGGTTCAAAATCTATGATCCGTCAATCAATTGCACAGTGGATGAGATGACCGAGGCAGTAGAGGGCCACATCACCACTGAGATTGTCATGCTGAACCCTGCCAACACCCGCAGCATTTCTAACATGGTGAGACTATGGGGCATAGAGGCTGACACCTGGGAGGAGTGGGTGGAAGAGACTGAGGGAGCTTCTCAGGGGAGGGGAGAAGGGTGTAGAGTTTGAACTTATGAAGACAAAGGGGTCTGTGCCCACTCTGAGCTTGTTAGCATCATGTCTCCTGTGGATTCTACCTCTGTTGTGACTTTTCTTGGGTAGGAGAGAGAGAGAGAGAGGGAGAGGGAGGGAGAGAAATGATAAGAGTGGTATGTTCAGTAGGCCCCTGATGAGTAGAAGGGCTGTTACCATGGAAACAAGGAGCAGTTGGTGTGAAGTCAAATGAGGGAGAGGCGTTAATGATAATATAGACGCTTGTATATGCAAGCACACCTTTACCAAAGCACTGTTCCTGGGCAGAAATGCATTTTATTTTTTTGGTGACTTACATTAGTATCTTAGAGTTGCTTAATATTCACTCATGATGAAATTAGCTTGGATCTTAATTTTTTTTTTTTTTTAAATGATTCTTTTTTTAGAATTTTAGATGTAAAAATGACTAAATCATTTAGTCCCAGATAACTGGTTAGTGACAGAGTTGGAACTAGAAGCACATTGCCTGACTTGGGAGGACTGGGGCAGGCTTGCAGGTGGGAGCACAAGTGGGTGTGGATGTGGGTGTGGGTGTGGGGGAAGAGCTTCACTGCTGCTCAGCACGACATCTTAGAGCACAGAAATCTTAGTGAGCTCAATGGGGTAACCAGCATGTCTACTTATTATATCAGGTACATCCTAAGGTATATAATGCCTGTTTTGGAGAGAAGGCTAGGGGTGAACTAATGATGGCAAAATCCTCAAAGTGTTTATTTAAAGGAGTTTTAGTAGCAATTGATTTTATTTGGTAAACTAGGAATTTAAAATCAGATTTTTTTTTAATATTTATGTTTTAGTTGTAGTTGGACACAATACCTTTATTTTATTTATTTATTTTTATGTGCTGCTGAGGATAGAACCCAGGGCCTTACACGTGCTATGTGAGTGCTCTACTGCTGAGCACAATGCCAGCCCCTTAAAATCAGATTTTAAACAATATTCTGATGTATATTTATTATTTGCATCTTATATACCAGAAAATTAAGACTCAGAGAAATTTAGTGACTTGTTCCATGCTGCTACTGAGTTGTCCTGCTGGAACTGCCTCCTAATTGAATCTAATTCCAAACTGCTCTGTTCCATCACTTCTAGGGTAAGCATGAAGCCTGACTGAAATCTTGTATTTTTTTGTGCTAGCACTGTTCAGCTGATGGCAGTTTTTGAGCACGGGAGAAATAATAATTTAGGAAGTTGGTTGTGTCAGTGAATTATGATGAGTGGTGAACTGCCTCATGGACTCTGATCATAGACTCTATTCTGGGACTTTCTAAAGGGAACTCTATGTTTAATGTATCTTATTTGAAAAATAGAGTGAAAAAATTCTGGAGGTTCACCTCCCTATAGAGTACTGGAAAGGTGAGTCATCCTCCAGAACTGAGGAATTAGTGGTGCTGGTTGTTGAAGATGGGAAGACTGTTTGGTATCCTGAGCCCAGGACCTGCCAATAATGGCTGCTGTCTCATAGCAGGAAGCTAGAGCAGGCAGACAGAAAGCCAAGAATTGTTCACAGATATAGAGGGACACTTGAGCTTTGGAGTAGGATGTTAGAAGGTCTCTTTCTGGCTCCTGGACTCTAGAGGAAGATGGTGCCTGCCTTCTAGACCATAGGGCTTCTAGTGACACTGGGCTAAAACACCAAGTAGAGAAGCCAAGATTTTTCAATAGAGGAATAGAAGCAGCCCTAACAACTGCCTAGGGAATCAAATAGCACCAAGAGAAGTGAATCAGAAGCAAGGATTGAAACAAGCAGGACAGAGCTATAAAGAAGCTGAGTTGCTTTCACTCCACAGAATGGCCTCACATTTGTTTAAATCAGTATTTCCCAAACTTTAGTTTCCAAAGAACTACCTGCAAAGGTAGTTAGTACACAGACTACTAAGCTGTTTCCCTAGAAGTTCTGAGCTGTTTCCCCTAGAAGATCTGGAGTAGGGCCTGAGAATTTATATTTTTAACAAGTTCCCAGAAATACTGATGTTACTTCTTTGGAAATCACACTTTTACCACTATTAGGGTAGTAGTTTTTAACCAGAGGTTGGAAATGTCTGGGGATACTTTTGATTGATACAACTTGGGGTGAGGGCTTCGCTGAAGGATAGCTGCTCATAGTGTCTAATGGGTATAGACCAAGGATGCTTCTAAACATTCTGTAATGTGAGCTGTGCGTGGTGGTACACACCTGTAATCCCAGCTACTTGGGATGCTGAGGCAGGAGGTTTGCAAGTTTTAGGTTAGCCTGCACAACTTGGACCCTGTCTCAAAAAAATAAAAAGGGGTGGGATGTAGCTCAGTGGCAGAGTATCCCTGGGTTTATTCCTCAGTACTGGAAAAAAGATATTCTAAAATGCACAGCTCAACACTGACAGCAAAGCTGTTCTGTCTAAATTGCCAATAGTGTGGAGATTTGAGAAATCATGATATAGAGAAAGAATCTTTAGGTACAATATAAATAAATGGAGAATGAATTAGAATGGTTTTGGAGAAATGTAGCTATGATCTAGAGGGGAAGATGGGAGGTGGCATACCTGGAGATGAGATTGTGAATTTATCCTGATTGGGAAGGAGATCTCATCAGACCTGGGTACAAAACAAACTAAAAACCTACCTCAGGATACACAGATCATTGTCAAGCATCCATTTTCACACATGGAGCCAACCAGACAGAGCTGTTTATAAAAAATGAGGATCATAAATTTGCACTTGGTTAATTCACTAATTTCTGTGAATTGTGGAACTTTTGTTGTTCAGTTTTTCTCAGCAGCACAGTAAAATTTCTCTTTGGAAATTAATAACCATATCTTTGCTGATTGAAAGGGGAAAGATTGTTTTTTCATTGCTTTAGTAATAGGGACACCAGTGCTCCCTTTGGCCAGGAGTGTTAGAGGTGAGCTGAGAGTTTGAAGATCTGGGCAGGGGATAGTATCATGCTGAGCAGATTAATCCCTTCCCATCTGGGTGATTTTCTGATGTAATCTTTACTTTGAACTGAGGATTAGATAGACCTAGAAGCTGAAGGACTACTCAGAAAGTCTCAGTTTAGCTGTTGTCTTTGAGCAGGTGCTCTTGGATAGAGGCATTTCAGTGTATAGAAGGAGTATGGGTAGAGGGTTAAAGTATAGACTTTGTTATTCAGAAGGCTGAGGCAGGAGGATTGCAAGTTCAAGGCCAGACAAGGCAATTTAGTGAGACTTTGTCTCAAAATAAAAATTTTAAAGAGCTGAAGGTGAAGCTCATGGGTAGAGCACTTTATGCCAAGGTTCAGTCCCCAGTGTTGCATTAATAAATAAAACTTTGGTGCCAGACTACCTGGGTTTGAGTCCTAGCTCTGCCACTTACTGGCAGTATAACTTTAGGCAAGTTACCTAGCTTCTATGTTTCACTTTCTTTTTTCACACAATAGGGATAATAGTATCTTCCTCACTGAATGGTTTGAGGATCAAATACATTGATATGTGTGCCTTAGAAAAGTGCCTGGCATACAGTAAGGACACTATAATGTTAGCCACTGCTGCCATCATCATCATCATCATCATCATCCTATATAGAGAGGGATGATACTAATGAAACACCTCAATAAAAGAAGAAAGAGGATTTGGTGATTTGGAAGGGTCAAAGGTGATTCTAAGGTTTCAATCTCATATAGTGGGCAGTGTTGAAGTGTGAGGAAAAATTGAGCTTAGAGAGTTTCTGTATACCTCTACATGTGCAAAGCCTCCCACATTAGCAGCAGACCCCACCAGAATGGTACATTTGTTACAGTTGATTAACCTGGCACATTGTAGTCATCCGAAGTCCATAGTTTACAGAAGTGTTCGTTCTTGGTGGTGTATATTCTGTGGGTTTGAAAAAAATGTATAATGGCATGCTTCTGTCCTTATAGTATCATGCACAGTTATTTTCACTATCCTAATTTAATATACATTTATTGTTTGTACATTATGGTGCTAAGAAAAAGAAATAAAACTTGGTTTCTGTTCTCAGAAATAGTAGAGCCTGAGCCCATGTGTGTCTTCAAATCTCAGGCTGTTTCAAGAAAGTTGAATAGAAAAAAAAAATGTGGTCATGTCATGGAGAACATTTGTTTATTCTTTATTCATCTATTCCTTCCTTCCTTCTGTTAATACATTCCAAATTCAAATAGTCATTTGTGTAGTGCTGCTGTGTATTATTTGTGCCTTGCAAGCAAGTCGTTGCTGAGCCTTTGCTTATGTCTTTTTGGGAGGTGAGGAAAGGAAGATGAGATTTTCTCCATTATACAGAAGGTAGTTTCAAGTTAACCATCTGTGGTTATTAAACCAAACGGGGTTAAAATCAAGTATGCAAAGTCAGGTCTCTTGACCTGTTATGTAAGAGTTAAAGGAACTATCATTCTTTTCAGCTTTCTTGAAAAATATTGAGTGTTGAGAAGTGGTGTGAGTAGGATTGAATGATGGACTTCAGAAGTGTAAAGGGCAGGACTGGGGATGTGGCTTAGTGGCAGAGGGTGTCTAGCATGCATGAGGCCCTTGGTTTGATCTTCAGCACCACATACACAGAGTGTGAAGGATATTTCTGCAGTTCTCAGTTTTTTGGAAAATCTCTAAAAGGCAACTAGAATGGCAAGAAGTTAACACACTGAAGAAAATCTTCCTGGTTGACAAGCAGAGTGACAAAGGCTGTGGGTGTTGCCTTTTTTAGGAACTTTCAGTGTTGGAGGAGCTGTTAGATCCTGGGTCAGCTCTACTGAGAGTCTGAAGGATGAGAGGACATCAGTGTCACAACTCTTCATTGCAATATCTGTGTTTTTTCCTTTACTCTATGTCTACTTTTTCTCCTTTGCCACTCATTACCAGAGTGTTTATTCATCAGACTTCTCTGTTTGTAGTTCTGAGCTAGCAGCTATACACACTAAGACCATTGGGCTCAGCTAATCTCTGCTCTAGTCTAGTTGCTTCAAACCTAAGACAGACACATGGGCATAGTTAGAGATTTTGAATGTACATATGCTTCATCTGACAACATGAACACAAACCATCCGCTCAAGTCGAAGTGTTTGAGCCAAAATTGGATGGTCCCCTCCCCCTGCACCCACACACATTCCAATCCTTTTCTCTTGTTCTTCTCTCCCCAGACATCCCAGGAGTTTGTGGAGAAACTAACCAAGCGACTCAAAAGACACCCTGAAGAGACAGGTGGCTTCCAGGAAGCACCGCTGGCCTATGATGCCATCTGGGCCTTGGCATTGGCCCTGAACAAGACATCTGGAGGAGGTGGCCGTTCGGGTGTGCGCCTGGAGGACTTCAACTACAACAACCAAACCATTACCGACCAAATTTACCGGGCAATGAACTCCTCGTCCTTTGAGGGTGTCTCTGTGAGTTATAGCCCCTTTCATGCTCCCCTGTCCTCGCATCGACAGACACCCCCTCAGAGGCTCCTTTAGAAGCATGCATTCCCCATCTTTCTCAGTTACTTCTCTGCAGAAGTTAGTCTTAGAGGAGGGGAGTGGGGATCCCCAAACCAGAAAATCCCACAAAAGACTACAAAAGAATAAAACTGTATATTTTTCGACCCTTCCTCTCATTTCTTTCAGACAAGTCCAGGTATTTATGAGTCAGATGAGAACTGTAGGATTTTAAAAGAAGAAACAACCCAAAAGTTTATCTCCTTATGCCTTTTAAAGTGAGAAAATAAATGCCCAATGGGATTTGGTGACTTGCTCAGGCCACACAGCTGGAAGCCAGGTCTCCTGGTGTTCTGTCTGGGGATTTTTCCCATTCAAATCTCACGGGTGAAGCTTCTTCTCAAAAGAATAATATTTCTAAAATCTAGGGTATGGGCATCTGGGGTATGTCCTATATGCAGGCAAATGCCATAAATAGTATTCATTCAGAAGCTCAATTACATCAAAAACAGAAGGAGTCAGAAAGTCCCTGATGTTCTCTTTTCACTCCTGCTTTTATCCCCTTTGCTTCCTCCACATGTTTCTCCCCCTCAGGGCCATGTGGTGTTTGATGCCAGTGGCTCCCGAATGGCATGGACACTTATCGAGCAGCTACAGGGTGAGCATGGGGGTGGAGGTGCAGGGTGGTGGTGGCGGAGGCTGGGACTGGGCCAGGTCCCTACTTGGAAGAACACTCAAGACATCACGAGATTGCCTGGTGCCTCGTCTCTTGCCTTTCTCTTTCAACTGTGTTCAACAAGCTTTTAAATAATATTAATAAAAAGCTTAGGTAGGGCTGGGCACAGTGGTACATGCCTGTAATCCCAGCGGCTCAGGAGGCTGAGGCAGGAGAATCACGAGTTCAAAGCCAGCCTCAGCAAAGCAAGACGTTAAGCAACTTAGTGAGACCCTATCTCTAAATAAAATATAAAATAGATCTGGGAATGTGGCTCAGTGGCCAAGTGCCCCTGAGTTCAATTCTTGGTTCCCCACCCTGACTTAAATAGAGTTGGGTTTCTTGCTGAGTTGTGTTCTTTAAGGGCATGTAAATTAAAAGCAGCGTTTCTCTATTCTTTCAGTCTCAGAGTTTGCCTTCTAATAGGTGTGGTGGTGTACCCCTGTAATCCTAGCTATTCTGGAGGCTGAGGCAGGAGGATTGCAAGTTTGAGGCCTGCCTAGGCAATTTAGCAAGACTCTTTGTCTCAAAGTAAAATTTTTTTGAAAGGCTGGGAATATAAGTCAGTTGTAGAGCCTAGCATGCTTGAGGCCCTGGGTTTAATCCTCAGTACATGAAGAAAAAAAGAAAACAAAATTTCCCTTCTGAAGCCTGTAGGAGCTGTCAGTGCCTCCTCAAAGATGCAAGGAAAGCTGAATCTAGGAAACCTGCTAGTTTTTTAAAGGGAATGCATTGAATTTTCTTGCTATGTAACATTCCTAATTTTCTGTAGTTTGACCTTTCTGGATTGAATTTTCTTATAACTTAGCATACTTAAGTATTTGCAGAACTTTGGTGAGTTAATTTTTCAGTTCCTTCTCACTTGCAGCCTTTTATGGGATGGACAAGAGAGCTATTTCTTGGCCTTCTGTGAAAAGTTTCTTTCTTCCTTCCTCCCGAACTCCCACATTCTCTCAGCTTTTCTTTGTATCCAAGACAAGAGGGAATGGATTCATTGGTGAAAGCCGTGTGAATTGGCTTTCGAAAGAAAAGTTATGTTAACTGGGACAGTTTTAGAACAGAAATATTAGGAGTGACCGAATTTCACATAGTGGCTCTTTAAGAGGCAGATGTAACTTATCCAAGGAATTAGAACCCAAGCCAACGGGAGAGAAATTTCTAAAATTAAAATGAAAGCCACTGGGAAAATAGATTCTGTGATTCTGTCCATCATGAGAGAATAAACGGAAATATGTTTAAAGCTTTCCAAGCCAGAATCAGAGTGAGAGACATCTTGCTGAGAGAGCTGTGAGGCAGTGGAATAGGTGGCAGACATACTGTGGCGCCTTCCTCAATGAAGAGTTTTAAACATATAAGATGTTAATTCAAGTGCCTTAGGAATCACTTTTTTTTCCTTTTCTGTACTGGGTTTTATACCCAGGTGCACTCCACTATTGAGCTACATCCCAACCTATTTTATTTTATATTTTGATATAGAGCCTTGCTTAGTTACCCAGCTGGCCTTGAACTATCCATCCTTCTGCCTCAGCCTCCTAAGTTGTGGGGACTATAGGCATGCACCACTGCACCCAGCTACCACCTTATGTTGCTTTTTTTTTTTTTTTTTTTTTTAGTTGTAGATGGACACAATGTTTTTATTTTTATTTATTTATTTATTTTTATGTGGTGCTAAGGATTGAACCCAGGGCCTCATATGTGTGAGGCAAGCGCTCTACCGCTGAGCTACAACCCCAGCTCCTATACTGCTTGTAAGTGAGATTGTTTCAAGCAACTTCTGTGTCCTTCCAGGTGTCCTTTAGTTGCTTAGATAAAGATAGTGTCACATGCAGTCAAGAAAAGCAGCTTTAGGAGTGTGGTAAGTTGGCAATACCCAGCATGGCTTTTTACCTATCAATGGCCACTCCTCTTGTTAGGTGGGAGCTACAAAAAGATTGGCTACTATGACAGCACCAAGGATGATCTTTCCTGGTCCAAAACAGATAAGTGGATTGGTAAGTGCTCTCCTATATATTTTCTTTTAATCCCTCTGAATAATTGAGGAGAATGGTCATGCATTTGAATGAGGGTGGGGTGGTAGGTTCCATAGGGTTGAAATGTGGCAGGGAAAGGGGCCACAGGCAGGGATTAAGAGAGAGCAAATATAACCTCCAAGAGGGGAGAGGAGATTGGTGTATTTGGAGAGGGACTAGGAGGTGGGTAGTACTATTTTTAATAGCACACTGCTGGGGAAACTGGGGATTAGAGGCAGGGGGCGGGCAGGGGGTGGGAAATGGAAACTCCATTTGGTTTCCAGATGTCCTGGTGCCTTGATATATCTGAACCAGCTACTTTAAGCCTAGAGCTGTCTCATTGTCTCTGTCAGGAAAACATTACTTAAACTATAGAAGAGGACACAAAACCTCAGATCATTGTCATCTGCTACAATGTACTTTTAAAAAAGGGGAAAGTGAGCAATTATTGATAGTGTACTTAGTGGGCTAAATGATAAGAAATTGAAAGATCCTGGAGGTGGGCAAAAGGAAGGACCTACTGCTAAAAGAAGGGGGTTAGTACCTATTGAAGGTAGCAGCTGCTACCTGGCCCTGCCCAACAAAACCTACTTGTTCCCAGCACTGCTAGAGTTCATTTTTTTTTTCTTTTAATAAAATTTGAATTTAGGACAGTGTTCTGTACTGCCATAAATGCTGCATGGCCTAATTTTTTTTTTTTTTTTTTAATTAAGCAAATTGCAATTAGCTTTTTTGGTGAACTCTGACAAATTTGAACTTCCCCTTCATAATAACTGAAAAACACTTTAGGGAATATCATTCTGCCAGGGTTAAGATTTCAGACTAGTTTCTTTTTGTTTGTTTTGCCTAAGGTTAGAAGGCCACATTAGATATTTGAGGCCCTTTTAGCTTTCTCACGGAGTAATTGTCTTTTGCAGCTTTTGATTTGGTGATAAGAGACCTCATAAGTTTATTTCTCAGCTAGCTAGCCCCTTCTTTCCTCTCCCATTTTCCTTTGCTGTTTGCTGCAAGAAAAACAGAGAAGCAGGAAGAACAAATCATAACAAAACAAGACTCTGCAACTTTGGTGAAATGCCCCAGCATTCACTATATCTTTCTCATTTATTTCGGTTACTCCCCAAGGGCCCCAGTGTCTGTGAGCATTCATTCTGCCAGTCACACCTGTGCAGAGTATGAGGGCCTTAAGTCCTCTGCCGGCATCCTTGTCCTTCACCCCTTTCCATTATCTCTTCTTTACCCTTTTCCTCCCTGTGCATGCAGGAGGGTCCCCTCCAGCTGACCAGACCCTGGTCATCAAGACATTCCGCTTCCTGTCACAGAAACTCTTTATCTCCGTCTCCGTTCTCTCCAGCCTGGGCATTGTCCTTGCTGTGGTCTGTCTGTCCTTTAACATCTATAACTCCCATGTCCGGTAAGTTTCTCTTTTCCCATGATCCTTGTCCTGTCTGCCTCTCTAAGGTAGTGATCATGCTCCTTAGAGGGAGTGACACTAAAACCTGAGTTTATTATTCCTAAAACCATCTGTTATAGAAGGTTCCATTTGGACTTACTGAGATTGCAAGAGGGGGATCCAGGTGTAACCCCCACCCTTGATCCAAAGCAGCCAACTGGAAGAAAGGAAACAAAACAAACCCCTCTGGGGCTAGGTAACACAATGTTGGGCTCTAGAGCAATAGATTGTATTTCTGAGAGGGCCTGTGCTAGGGGAGCCCTCTACAGCTCCATCTTCAGCCCCATGAGCCAGCTCATTGTCTCTCAAGATTGCCACCTTTCTTTTAGTAGTCCTACGGCCCTGGAGTTGAGGTCATGCTATTGCATGACATTTGGAGGGCTGAGCTTCCTTGGAGAAGAGGGGTAATTCTGCTCTCTTCCTCTCCCACCCTCTCCGCCTCTGCCCTAGTTATATCCAGAACTCCCAGCCCAACCTGAACAATCTGACTGCCGTGGGCTGCTCACTGGCGTTAGCTGCTGTCTTTCCCCTTGGTCTGGATGGTTACCACATCGGAAGAAACCAGTTCCCTTTTGTCTGTCAGGTGAGGAGGGCATATACCTTGCAGAATGTGGTTTCCCACCCCTCTCAGGAGCACCTTCCACCATGTATACTTCCCTGCCTTTCCTTCTTCTTATCTTTCCCTGACTCTTGTCCCTGTTGCTTCCTCCTGTCATCACCCCTCTGGTCTCTGTCTGGCTCTGTCCCTTCTCTCTGGGCCTCTAGACCTTTTCCATTCTGCAGTTCACTTGCTAGTACCAGGAGGAGGGAGGTACTGAGGACCAAGGAAGGGGGTCTGCACAAAGAAGAATTGTGGCTCGTCTGTGGTGTGGGGGCTGAGTACCAGAACTGTGGGCTTCCTGTGGGAGCCTTTGTTGGGGTTTAGAAAAATGAAGGCAGAGTCTAAGTTGTCAGCTAAGAGAGCTGGTGGGGGAAGGGGTGCCATCACACAGGGAGGAGGGCCTCTGGGACTTTAAGTATATGAAAGATTCTGAGGCTGTGGGAAAAGGCTGGCTTCAACAATGATATTTGAGTGGTTCTCTATTATGCTGCAGGAAACACCCACGCTTCCCCCTGATTCTGCCTATCCGTACTCTTGCTTTCCTCTGCTCCCTTTCCTGAACTGATCACGTACTATGCACATGGCATCTGCACTCACATGTATGCAGTTCATCAGGAATTATCTGTTCCCAGTAGAATCAGAGTGCAGCCAGAAAGGGAGATAACTAGCTGCAGTGCAGTAGGAGAGGTACAGGAATTGGGATCTGCAGAATGTGCTGTGGGAGCAAAGAAGGGAAGCAGCTTACAGTCAGAGTAGCTGGGTGGGCTTCATGAAGGTGGTGGCCTTTGTGTATTGAAGCCTGCATGAGATTTCTCTGCTGGAGAAATAAAGGAAGGTTATTGCAGGAACAGAGAATGTCATGTGTCCAGCAAAGATATAAAAGAGAGTAGATAGGAGAGCACTAGTAGGTCATTGTGGCTAGAGCATGCAGTAGGTGAGGGCCTGGGAGATGAGTCCGGACAGGTGGATGGGATCATGTTGTGAAGGGTTCTTGTCACATCTGAAGGTGTTTAGGCTGTCACCTGTAGGCATTGGGGGAATAATCAAGTAATTTTAGTAAAATTGCTCTGGTTGTGGAGAAGTTATAAGATGGATGAGAGGGATGGTAGGAAGTAGGGAGACCTGCCCTGTGCTCTTTTCCCCACACACCTCATTACTTGGTGACTGCGTCCTGCCTGCTTTGTCATCTGCTAACTGCCCACACTCCCTCCTACAGCCCTGAACATCCTCACCAAAGCCCTACCTCCTATCCTGCCCGCTTCTGTCTGAGCCCTCTCTCCCTTTCTAGGCCCGCCTCTGGCTCCTAGGCCTGGGTTTTAGTCTGGGCTATGGCTCCATGTTCACCAAGATTTGGTGGGTCCATACAGTCTTCACAAAGAAGGAGGAAAAGAAGGAGTGGAGGAAGGTGAGTTGCTTCTCAGTCTCCAGCCTTTGCTCCTTGGCTCTAGGGGCTTAGAGAATTTCTCCTGACCTGCCTTCTCTGAATGTTTGCTCAGACTCTGGAGCCCTGGAAGCTGTATGCCACAGTGGGCCTGCTGGTGGGCATGGATATCGTTACTCTTGCCATCTGGCAGATCGTGGACCCCTTGCACCGGACCATTGAGGTACCACTTGAGAGGAGGTATTGGGGTCAGGAGGCTGAGCCCCTGTCTGTCAGTGTCCCCAAGGTTGTGTGTATTCTTGAGGGACAAAGCTACACATGGAGAGTGTAGGGGAGGAGGGCAACCATCCATCTTCCTTGTGGTCCCTTTTCTCCCCTAGACTTTTGCCAAGGAGGAACCGAAGGAAGACATTGACGTCTCTATTCTGCCCCAGCTGGAGCACTGCAGCTCCAAGAAGATGAATACATGGCTTGGTGTGTGAATGTGGAGGAGAGGAGGGCAAATTGCAGCAGAAGCAGGAGGAATGGGCAAGGACATTAGGTTTGAAGGGAAAAGTGTCTTTGGGAGAAGAGACAGAGAGCTTGTCAACCAATTTTACTGTTCTTCTCTTTGTTATTGTGCTAATCTTTTTTGAGAATAGTGGGGAGCTGGTCTTTGCTATGAAGAGCTTAGGATACAAAGCAGGGATTAAGAAGAACTTCTGTTCTTTATCAGTGGAGATAACCCCATCCCCTGGCTTGACCCCCATCTGTATTTGGTCACCTTCTTCAAGTAAGACCAGGATTGTGAGGTCATGCATGGATTTAGGCTCCCTTTGGCCTTATTAACATTTCTTTGATCTGTAACCACACTTGGTAAATATGCCCTTAGCCTGGAAAGCCATCTTCCCCCCTGGAGAGAAAGGGGTGAGACGTTATATATGGCCTAATCTGGCCCATTTCCTGCTGGCCAATCAGACTTTTGCCTGACTGACAGATATTGATGAGCACCATTTTCTGGTGTGAAATGTGTCCATTCATCACAGGGAGTGCTTGCTAGGTCAGAGGAGCTAGACTGGAGAGGAGATCTCCCTTTCCATTGAGAGGCTCCAAGAAGGAGCATTAGTGAGTGATGGGCAAAGAGAGAGGACAAAGATTGAGTGAGTAGCATGAAGGTCCTTGATGCCCAGGTGACCCTTTCCTGCTATCCTAGGTATTTTCTATGGTTACAAGGGGTTGCTGCTGCTGTTGGGAATCTTTTTGGCTTATGAAACCAAGAGCGTGTCCACTGAGAAGATCAACGATCACAGGGCTGTTGGCATGGCCATCTACAATGTGGCGGTAAGCTCCCTGGATACCTGGCATTGATCCTGTATGATGATCATGGATGGCAACTGAGATGTGGTGGCCTAGGGAGAATCAGGCACCATTTCTGGTATCACTGTGTGGAGGTGTTGAAAAGTTTGCTTATGTCTGATTTACAAAGCTAAGTATAGATATTATATCATTAATTTTCTTGCATCTACCCAGTGAAATAGATATATAGGTGAGGAAACAAGCAGAGATGTTAAATTGCTTGTCTGTGTTTCGTGGGATGAAATCTGAGTACACTATTCCTCCCAGGAGTCCCCAGGGGCTGACTGAATGGGTGCAGAGAGATCCTGGGAGTTTCTGCTTGGGGAGAGGGGTTAACCTAGAGTTGAGGACTTGTTTGGCGCAGTTTATTTGGCATTTTTAAAATTTTAACTTTAATTTTCTTTTTTTCTTTTTTGGATCTGGGGATTTAACCCAGGGGTGCTTTTTACCATGGAGCCACATCCCCAACCCTTTTTCTTTATTTTTTTAAATTTTGAGACAGTGTCTTGCTGAGTTGCTGAGACTGGCCTTAAACATGTAATTCTCCTGCCTCAGTCTCTGGAGTTGCTAGGATTACAGGCATGCACCACTGTGCTTTGGCATTTTTGTTAATCTAGAGTTGAGAATGATTCTGGATTTATGGAAAATTCACCAGGATCTCATCCTCATAGGATCCTTCCTGAGGGAAGAAGACTCTAGTAGATCACATCTGAGCCTGCAGATCTGAGTCTCTTTAAATATGTTCTGATCCCCAGGTCCTGTGCCTCATCACTGCCCCTGTCACCATGATTCTGTCCAGCCAACAGGATGCAGCCTTTGCCTTCGCTTCTCTTGCCATCGTGTTCTCTTCCTATATTACTCTGGTTGTGCTCTTTGTGCCCAAGGTGATTTTCTTTTTTTTTTTTTTTTTTTTTTAATTTTTTATTGTGGGTTGTTCAAAACATTACAAATTTCTTGACATATCATATTCCACACCAAGGTGATTTTCTGACTCTTCTCCTCCTTCTGTAGTCCCATGCCCCTTATATCCTTTCTTCCCAGGACTCTGTTCCCTGCCCTTCCCTGAACCCTCCTCCCACTCCTTCCCTTGTATTGGGTCTAGCTTGTTCCTCTTTTGTTCATTCCTTCCTACTCCTACCCACCACCCTCTGATCACTGACACAGCCCCTGCTCCGCCATCCCATGCCCAAACATTTGCCCTCAGATGCGCAGGCTTATCACCCGAGGGGAATGGCAGTCTGAGGCGCAGGACACCATGAAGACAGGGTCATCTACCAACAACAATGAGGAGGAGAAGTCCCGCTTATTGGAGAAGGAAAACCGTGAACTGGAAAAGATCATTGCTGAGGTATGTGGATGATGGCCAGGGTCCAGAAGGACTTTAACTTAGGTCTGGTTGTCTGAAGTAGAGCCTGATATGTAGGTTCAAGTGTTCATGCTTTATGGAGGGAGGGTCTCAGAAACCCTGCAAGGGAATGAGTGAGTGGAGCAGGATAGGGAAGGGAACAGGATTGAGCAATAGTCTGTCTTAGCTAAAATCTAGTGTTTATCTGATCAGGTGGAGTGGGAGCTGCATTGTTGACTTGACACTTCTGAGGCAAGGGGTGGCTGTCAGCGGGAAGCAGCTGTGAACCATTAGCAGCCAATACTCACAGCTGGGTGTTAAATGTGCCCACAGCAAAGGAGGTCTGGGCAGGTGCCCACAGTGTCCACTGTGCCCCAAGCTGCAGTTAGGGGTTAGTTCAGTGCCAAAGAGGGAGATATTCCAACTGGGTTTACATAAATATCCATGTGTTTTATTAGAGCCTTTGTGTACTGACTCTTCTCTTTTCCATTTTCTCCTTTTGTTTTAATCTCATTTTCCTGATCTCTTTTCTTTTGTTGGTGCTCCTGTTATGTTCTTTTCTTGATTCCACATTTTAATTTTTTTCTTTCAATTTATTCTATCCCCCACCCACTCTTCACTTTCCCTTCCCCTGCCTCACGACCTCCCCTTTTCCTGCTCTCCCAATGTGTTTCTTCCTCCAGAAAGAGGAGCGAGTCTCTGAACTGCGCCATCAGCTCCAGTCTCGGCAGCAGCTCCGCTCCCGGCGCCATCCCCCAACACCCCCAGATCCCTCTGGGGGCCTACCTAGAGGACCCCCAGAGCCCCCTGACCGTCTTAGCTGTGATGGGAGTCGAGTCCATTTGCTTTACAAGTGAAGGGGTATCAGGGAGGACAGGCCAGTAGGGGAGGGAAAGGAAGAGGGGAGAGGGTGGGGAACTGGGTTGGAAGCAGGGGACCCCTATCCTCAGTTGGAAAGAACATGCTGTCAGTTCCATCTCTTGTAAATTCATGTCCCTCTGTGAGTCCTGGGGTTATTTGAGTCTTCAAATACTCTGGGAAATAGATCTTTTTATCTTATTCATTGATATAATTTTATTTCACAATTTTATAATTTAGTTTGTGCCTCACTTGAAGCTACTCAGTCATGACTCCTCAGCAGCCTCACTACATCTTTGTCTCCCATGACAGCCCTCTGTCCAGTTACCACGGCAACCCTGCAGCTCCTATCCTGTTTGTGCTATGCTCTCTCTGCTTCTGTCAGCAGGGGTCTCTCCCCACTAGTGCTCTTTCCACCCCAGCAGGGGCTTCTCCATCATAATTCCCTTCCTCTCAATCCTACTAGCCCTTCCACATGTTCCCATGTTTTCCTTTTAAATTTTGCTTCTTTTGGGGATTCATTCTTTTCCCCCAGAGCTTGAATGCTATTTGCCTCTACTCTATGTGTGCTCATTCTTATGCATCTGCTCTTCTCTTGCTTGTGCCACTGGTGCTCCTGTGCACGTGTGCTTGACCCATGTGCTTTGTCATGCTGCAGTCACAGCTATGTGTCCTCCTCTTGTGGTCATGGGTTTGCCTCAAGTGGGTCTGGGTAGGATGTTCCATTTGTCTAGCATGCTAAACTTTGTCTTTCTACTTGCACACATTCATGTTTATCTATATTTTCCCTGTGTACCTACCCTCAATGTACCCTTATACCTTCCCTTTGCACCTTAAGACCACAGTATTCTTCCAGCAGAGCCATATGTAACCTCCCTGCACATTATTATGCACTTTCCCCCAATCCGTGTTTGCTAGGGCCATCCTCACTGTCTGCTTGTCATGTTCAGTTTCCACTCATACTTCCCCCTCCCTCCTTGGTATTCACTCCTGCACCACCCTCAAATCTGCACACACAATCATCCTCTCAAGGATGATTTTTTGCTCCCTTTAATTTTTTTTAATTTTTTTGTGGAATCTAAAAAAAAAAAATGGGGGCAGGTTTGGGGAACTGTTTCCAGTGAATAGATGAAGAGAATTCCGACCATGGAAGGTACCTCTGACTGTTGGATGGACAGATGGACCTATGGGGCGGGAGGTGGCGCCCCTTTCACACTGTGGTGTCTCTCTAGGAAGGATCTTCCTGAATCTCAATAAACCAGTGAACAGTGTGACTCAGCACCTCACCCTCTGTACTGTGAACAGAGCCGGCTCCCATCCAAGGACGGAGGCTCAGAGAGCTCCAAGTTAATGAAAAGGCTTTGAAGCAAAGGGGTGGAAAGAGGTGTTTTATTGATCCACTAAGGACTTAGCAGGGCAAAGTAGGACATGATTAAGGATGAGATTAGTGAAAGATGACATTATTGGTTAAAAGTGTGGGCTCTGGAATCAGACTGCTAGGGTATCAGATCCCACTATATGTTAAAAAAAAAATCCTTTATCTTTATTCTTCATGCCCTCATTTGTGAAGATAGAATAGTAACTACAGCCATATATTTTTTCATATGGTGGATGCAAGGACTAGGTTAATTATGCATTCAGGCCCATGCTATATGTTGGGTAAATGCTAACCTCTGTCACTACTGTTTCATGGATTCCCTGACAGTGTGGGTATGTATTGGGAGCCTGGAGCAGGTGGCTGAACAGATGTGAGCACTCTTCCTTCCCAGGAAGTTAGAACAAAAGAATGATGACTGCTCAAAGGTTTTGGATGATTTGGCCTGAGTGCTTCCAACCTTATACATCTTTGTTTAAGGAAGTCTGATCATCTTGGGAAGAATTTGCAATCAAAATGAAAAAAAAAAAAATTTAAATGGCCAAGGGAGAAAAAAAAAATTGCCTGGAACTTTATAAGTCTTTGTGTCCTTTTGGAGATAACTTTTCCTTTTCACTTGGGCATTGATTTTCATCTCACTTTTTTGCACAAGAGCTGTAAGGGTGATTGGACCCTGTCATTTCGTTGTCTTGTTTATGGGTAGTTTAAATCTTAGGTCAGTATTTGAAAAACCTTTCACTGTGATTATCCACCTCAGATCAGTTGGAGTTAATTTGAGTTTCCTTTCTTCCCACAGTGGAATATTCTCGAGGAAAGGGGAAGAAGTCTATGGGGTAGAGAAACCTGCAGCGTGAAAATGAACAGTTGGCTTTAGAAACAGCAGCAGGAGCTATGTATCAGGCCTGGGTAGAACCTAAAAGATCCAAATTACCTCTTCAAACTTGCATTGCACTTAGATGGGGTGTAAATTATAAATAAAGGGTCAGTTGTTCTTCTGTGGCTTAGGGTGAACCAGATACTCTTTGCTAGCAGGAGGGCAGAAACAAAGCCAAATAGTAGAACTGGCAGAGGTGCCTGATGCAAAAGGTGTGAGGGGATGAGTTGCTGGGCAGTGAGGCTACTGCTTTGTAGTTCAGGCATTAGTTGCTTCCCTCATTCTTGTCTTGAGGCAGGCTCTGCATCGCCTGCACTGCTTCAGGGTAGGACTCCCCCTTTGGCATCAGGTCTCTTTCTGACTTGAAAACATCCCAGACTCCTGATTGCATGCCAGGACTTGGTATTCTCTGCTCTCCTCTGTGTTGGTCTCTTGCCTCCCTGCCCTAGTTCCTGTTGTGTATAGAGAGCATTTCTTTCTTTCTTTCTTGTATTGGGGATTGAACCCAGGGGCACTTAACCACAGAGCCATATCTCCAGCCTATTTTTAAATTTTTATTTTGAGACAGGGTCTCACTAAGTTATTGAGACAGGCTTTAACTTGAGATCCTCCTGCCTCTGCCTCTGCCTCCTGAGCCCCTGGGGCCGTAGGCATGCATTACTATGCCTCACTAGGGAGCATTTCATGAACACCTTGCTCTTGTGTGATTTTCATTGTCTTTTCCATCCATCAACAGGTGTTGATTGGGCAAGATGCTGTGGTGGGTGCATTTTTAGGCACTGAAGCAGAGAAGTGAACAAGATGGTTTGCATGGGACACATGTTCCCAAGATGGGATGATGACCAGTGAAGATGAACAAATAAAAAACTGAGATAGTATAAGAGACCAACCAGGAACACTGGGCATCTCTGTCATTAGCTCTAGTGCTCAGGACAACCCTGGCGGGAGGGGGTTGTTATGCTCAATAGATGGCAAGGAGACTGTGGCCTGGGAAAGAAAGAATCCTGTGCAGTGTCATACAGCTAATAAGAAAAAAAAAAAAATCAGTGTTTAAACTGTGCATTATTATCAGTTGCTGTGTAACCTATTACCCAAAGTCACTTAAACAACAAAAAATTTCTGGGTCAGAAATTGAGACAGGCTACTTACTCCACAGTGGCTAGAAGGTTTGAAGACTGGGAACTGGAGTCATGTGAAAGTTCCTTCAGTGTGGAAAGGTGGGTTTTGGCTCAGCAGAGAATTGGACTGGGGCTGTGGGCTGGAACCTTTACACGTGGCTTTCTGTGTGGCCTGGGGATTCTTTATGATGTGGTGACTGAATTCTAAAGGTGAGTGTCAGCGAGAGAGATACAGAAAAGAGAATGAGAGAGTATGTATTATCTTTTTTCCTGTTGAAGCTTTGGAAATGACTAGCAGGGCTTCTGCCCTATTGGTCTGCATAGTTATAAGCCTGTGTCAGATTCACGGGGTAGAAATACAGAATTTATCACACCATAAACACCACACATGGAGTGGGATAAATATATTGTTGCAGCCTCCTTTAAGAAAATAATCCATGGGTCTAACCTGCTTACTCCAAAGCCAGTGTTCTTTATGGCTCATTCCACTACTTGTCTCCTCCAAAGTTGACCACCCCAGTCTGTTTATTTGCTGGCATTCAGTCTTTTATGAGGCCCCCTATTCCTTGTGGAAATTTCAGGGCCAGCTGTTGTCACATACCTGGCCTTTCTGTCTACAGTGTTGAAGATGGCCCTGTCAACTATGGATCCTCCCATGGTCCTTATTAGTTTTAGGCCATCCTAGACAGGCAAACTGTTTTTTCTTCTTGGGATTTTTGAGCAGAGAATTCTCTTTTTTTTTTTTTTTTTTTTGCTTTTTCATGGTCCATTAACTTAAGGGCAATCAACATGGGCTTCATATCACATGATAGCTGGACTTCTAATAGGTGATATTCAAAATACTTAAACAATATGGAATCCACTTATATGCTCCTTGGAGCGAGACATGTACCACCACACTCTGTGATATTACCAATTTTTGACCGCAAAGGCTGAATCCTTTTTACCTCTTAGAATTATGGAACCACAGTAATGATTCATGGCAGATGATACCTAGCATCCTGGCAGCTGCGGTGGAACACAGGTGAAAGCCTATATGGGGACACTTCTAGGGACTGTGGGTACAGCAACGTGAGGAACATTTATGCATCATGCATGTGCTTCTTGAGGTGTGTGTGTCAAAGGGTATTGGAGAGGGAAAAAATCTTTTTCTTATGCCTATCTACCCATCTACCCATCTTAGGTCCCCAGCTGAGACCCTGTAAATTAGATTGGTAAAAGACATTAACAAGAGAAAGCTGGGCATGGTGGTGCAACTCTGAAGGCTAAGGCAGGAGGATCACAAATTCGAAAACAGCCTCAGCAACTTAGTGAGGCCCTAAGCAACTTAGCAAGACCCTGTCTCAAAAAGGGTTGGGGATGTGGCTCAGTGCTAGAATACACCTGGGTTCAATTCCTAGTGCCAAAATCCAAAATAGAAGTTTACTAACATGCTTTGTATGTGTACAAATGGCATTACCATTTTTTTTTTCCCTTTTGTGGTACTAAAGATTGAATCCTAGGACACTTTACCACTGAGCTATGTTACCAGCTCTTTAAAAAAAATTTAAATTTTGAAATAGGGTCTCCCTGTGTTGCTCAGGGGCTCACTAATTGCTGATGCTGTTCTTATGATCTTCCATTGGGATTATAGACATGTACCACTACACTCTGTGATATTACCAATTTTTGACCCCAAAGGCTGGATCCTTTTTACCTCTTAGAATTATTGAACCAATATAAAGCCTAAGCTCCAATTGAGCAGTGGAGGAGACTTGATTATTGGCCAGGAATAGGAAAAGTGGGAGATGAACTTGCAAAGCAACTTCTTACCTGTTGGGGGTTGGGAGATTATAGATATAGGGCAAAAGAAATGAAGGAGAAGGAGGTGATATCTTCTGGGGATGGGTGGAGATTTTCTGAGAATTCAAGCACAGTTATCAGTTGTCATGGTGCTGGGGGGAGGGTTGTCATTTAGCAAGCAGATGAGGTTATAATGAAGTTAGAGATCATTTGATGCTCTCCCTAGCATGTTGTTTGATAGCCTACCTGAAGAGGGACTTCTGGCCTTCAGACATCTTGTTCTCAAATATTAGGGTGGGGTAAAATTCAGCCAGGTCACCTAGGCAGTACAAGCTGGGTAACATGGGACTACCACTAGTACCAAAGTGGTGGTAACAATCTGGGCTTTATACTGTCTTAGGCTATGCAAAGCAGAAGGGGGTGGGGCTTCTGGGTAGAAAGCTCTGTTAGTGATGCTTGTTATGCAGGTTTGAGCTAGTGCTTTCTCCATAGATAAAATTATACCTTTACAAATGTAAATTTCCTTTACCAAAGGAAAAATCTCTTCCCTGTTTTGAGAGCATTCTCTCTGGCCCTTTGGTTCTCATGACCTTTAGCTCAATCCATATGCTAAAGAGGCATATTTTGAAGCAGCTATTCTGGTACTCTTCTAGGTGGGGAGGGGTGTGATATTCTGCATTGAAGAAATTGGGAAGGCTGCTTTCATGCTGGGTCCTTGCGGGATACTACAGGAGCTGGACCCTGTCAGTGGGCTAGTGACCTGACTTGAACCTCAGCTAAACCCCAAGGTTCTGGAATAAAGTTCCTTTTTTAAACACAAGTATTATATTAGGTGGATAGTTAAGTACATGCTTTCTGGCATCCTAAATCCTGTAGGCTTGAAACATTTGAGGGGATCCATCCCCCGCTTTTTTAGTTGAATCCAATCCAGTAACTTCTGTACATTTCTAAAATACTTTCCTACTTAATCCTTTGTCTCCCTGGCATAACTCCTTATACTTACCCTCCCCCACTTAGTTTGCAGTGTTGGGATGGAGTCCAGATCCTTCTATCACTGAGCCACATCCCCAGTCCTCCTTAATTTATTGAGATAGGGTTTCACCAAGTTGCCCAGGCTGGCTTTGAACTTGGGATCCTCTTGCCTCAGCCTCCTAAATAGCTGGGGCCTTCTTGAAACAAGTAGTGCAACGGCTTCTCAACCCCAGATTCCTGTGATTAGGCTGGAAAGATTTCAGGCCCGTTGCTCAGAGTTACAGGCATGAGTCTTATTAGAAGGAATCCTGCCCTTTGATTTTATTGGGAGCTGGGGAAGTTTACAGAGCCCTGCCCAAGTCCACTTTTAGACTTTTTTTTTTTTTTGACAGTATGTGAACTGCATGGACTACCTCTAAGAGAGAGGTATTATGCTCAGAGTTGGAATTTTTAAGGAAATTGAGTCCCCTGTTTTTGCCTCAATTTCCTGTCCTCTTAATGGGGTTGTTATCAAGTTCCCCTCTTTTTGACTCAGTGTCCTTAATCAGTTTTTTATCTTTTGAATAACTCCCATCAAGCTTTCTTTGTGAGGGTTGATGTTTTGGCTATGGGGAGGTTGGGGGTTGTGACTTAGTATTGGTGATAAAAAAGTTTCTGGATACTTGGTTACAAGAGATAATATTTTCTTTATTAAGGCTGGGTGAGGTTTTAACATATCAAGCTTCCATTTTCCAGGTACTTATCTGTCAGATGTGCCTCCCTGTGGCTTTCAGTTACCCTTCATTATCTTTTCCCTGCTTATCTATTTAAATGACTGAGTAGCTTCCACCTGTGTTACAGGATACCATGCCACCAAGCTGAGTCAGCCATGGCAGCCCTCTCTCACCTCAGTTCTTGCAATCATGCCAGAAAACTTTCAGACATCGCTCAGAGTAGCAGGCATGAGTTTACTGCTGAATATGGAAAGGAAAAAGGGGATACTCTCAAAGGCGAGACTGGGTCACAGAGAAGACAGGGATGGTGTGCCTCTCCTGCCCTCCTATTTCTATTGGGGTCTCAGGGAAGTTTCCAGAGAGTTCTGCTCTGGTCTACTTCCTAACTTTTGACTGATGGCAGGGTGACTTCAGACTTTCAAGTTTCCACTATGCATGACAACTCTAGATCACTTTGGCCCATGATAACTGGTTCTAATTGGAACCTGTTCTTACAGGTTTTATGGTTTGGGGGAATTCTCATCTCCCTGAATTCTGGAATCCGGTCTGCATAAAGGTCACAAAAGTCTCCCCCTTTAGGGTAACTTGTGTTCTTGGAATTTCAGGCCTACATTCCTCCTGCAAATAACTTGTTGTTTTCTGAGGAATGTAACATATCCTGTTGACTTAAGCCAGGCAGAGCTGTATGTAAATTGCTTGTTAAAAATTGGGTTGGGGAAGGGAGGAGTCGGGGTAGGAAAGTTGGTGGAATGAGATGGTCATCTTTTACCCTAAGTACATGTTTAAAGACACGAACTGTTTGAATCTACTTTGTGTAAAACCGGAGACATGAAAAATTGTGCTCTACATGTGTAATATGAATTGAACTGCATTCTGCTGTAATATATAACAAACTAAGGTAAATAAATAATTTAAAAAAACTTTGGGGAGGGGTTAGCACAGAGGGCCCAGTGTATAGGGCCTGTACACTTCCCCATCTCTTTCTGGTACTGAGGATCAAAGCCAGTGCCTCAGGAATGCTAGGTAAGCACTCTACCACTGAGCCATCCCCAGCCCACACCTCCCCATCTTAATGGGTAACATGTATAAGCCCTGCCTTTACTCCTTTCTATACAGTAGGCAGCAAATATTTCAAATTAATTTAGTTATCCACCATGATTCAAACTTCTATGAAGACTTCTCTGACCAACCACACCTCCTTTCCAAGCACTCACACCGTATGCATTTTTTTTTTTTAGTTAAACACACAGTATCTTTATTAATTTTCATGTGGTGCTAAGGATCGAACCCAGTTAAAGCCCCAGCCTTCATATGCTTTTATTGTACATCCCTTTAACCTTTTATCTGCTCCCAACTCAGTTGTGTTACTGCTACCTGTGCTGGAGATATGTCTTTGACTGTCCCTACTGTTTAGGGTTGTGATTAAATAAACTTAAATGGGTTTTTTTCTTCTAGAGTATCAAATGTATAACTTTTCACATGGATACTGGATGAATTTAGAATAAGAATTGTTAGTCCTAATGCCTGAGTTAAAGCATTTATTTAATGAAGCAGGTTTCATTAAAACGGATTCCTATAAACTGCTTCACTTAATTCTCTGTTGTATTTCCCCTAGAGTCCATCTAGAAACAGTTGAGCTTCTGGGTTTAGGGAGCTGATAAACAGAAGGAAAAAGTAGAGGTCTCTAGGTGCCAGTGAGAGAAGATGGAGCAGGTCTTGAGAAACAGTATTACATAAGAGCCTTGAAAAGTAGAATTAACATTAGTGTTGCTTATGGGGCTGAGATTAGAATTATTAAACATAAAATGAGGACCTTACTTTAAGATTAATAATTAGGCTGAGGAGAAAATAAGATTAACACATGAATGGCTAGGATGAAGATTAGGATTAGAATAGAGTTAATGCTGCTGTTCTGGACTGATAACAGGGTAAATGTTGGATCAAGGCCATTTTATGTAGGGACTAGAAATGAAACAAGAATTTTCATTTTTCTTTGTTGGCATGTACTCAAGGAGAATTTGCCCAGCCTGGACAACAGGAAGACCTTGACACAAATAAAACTAAAAAAACTGGTGATGGAGTATAGTGCAATGGTAGAGTTCTTGCCTAGCAAGCCTGAGGCCCTTTGATCCCCAGCACTCCCCCCCCACCCCCCCAAAAAAACCCAAGTGTGTGTATTTGTGTGTGTGTGTGTGTACATGTTTACTTATTTTGTGTGTGTGTGTGATACTGGGGTTGAACCCAGGGACACTCTACCTTGGATCTATATCCTCAGCCCTTTTTTATTTTGAGAAAGGTCTCTGTTGACCAGGCTGGCCTTGAACTGGAGATCCTTCTGCCTCAGCCTCCTGATTTTTGGGAATTACAGGTGTTCATCATCATGTCCAGCTTAGAAATAGAATTTGGTATTGCCGTCAGTTCCATGGAAAAGCTAGGTGGAGGAATCTGTAGGATTAGGACTCCACAACTATTTACACATTCTCTGGAGGGTAAGATTCATTCATTTGCTCACTCACTTATCCATAGAATCAGGTGCCAATTTTCTGCAAATTTTTCTCTGCTTTATGGGAGCCTGAAATCTTGTGGAAGAACAGGAGTACAGAGGAAGGCAGGAGCACAGAGTTGTAAAAATACTTACAAGGGATTCTTGTTTTTTGTTGCCATGGGATGATGATTTGAAGCATTTGAAAAACTATTCCAACTGATCATGGTGGCACACACATGTAATTCCAGCAACTTTGGAGACTGAGGCAGAAGATCAAAAGTTCAAGGTCAGCCTGAGCAACTTTGTGAAACCCGGTCTCAAAACATAACAAGGGCTGGTAAAGTGGGTTCTATTGTTAGTACTAAAAACAAACAAAACCCAAAAAGCTACAACGTATTCTGAGATTCAAAACGGAGTGACCATGGTACATGTGTTGCTAGACTGGGATGATGCTCTTAAGTTTGTTGAGGAATTGAGGTGTCTCACCTGGGCTGGGAGGGGAATAATTGTACCCACAGGCAGAGCTAAGAACGTGGAATCTGGTCAGTTCTCCTGGTTCCAAATCCTGTGTCTTAGTTTCTGCTTCTGAAAAAGGATGTATTATTTGCTTCATATTGTTATTACATGGGTTAAATGCATAAATGTGTGGAAATTACATTAAATAGTGTCTGGAATCTCATAATCGGTATAAAACAGTTCCTGTCTGAGCAGAGCACAGTGTGTGCTGATGTTCATGAAGTTTCAGGTCGTGAGCCAGGGATGGCACATGCAATTTCACATTTGGCCAATAGATGGCACCAGAATCCTCAATGTACAAATTATCCTGCCTGCCTAAACATGAAGACTTTTCCCTGAGCTTGTTGTTGGCATTGTAAAGAAGAAATGCCAGGACTGAAGTTAAAGTTTCTTCCCAAGGCTCTGTGCTGGCTTCAAGCCTAAGGATACTAGGGTATCTGATTTTGTGTGTGAAAACAACAGTGTGTATTTGAGAATTGCCTGACTGGATGTCAGGGGTCCTGGAATTTATTTAGTTCTCATACTGTGTTGTTGGGTGAGTTTCTGAACTTACAAGCTGCCCATCTCTCTTACTAATATTTGGAGGACAAATCAGAATGAGAATATAAACCAGACATATATAAGTAAGTGGAAAAAAAGAGAAGCAAAGAAAATAGGGTAGGAACTAGAGATGGAGAAATAGTGATAATATGACAAGGGAGGGGAATTAGAAATGGAAATGATAACATTAGGAACATGATTGTGAGAGCAAATCATTGAAAATAAAATAGAGAAAAAGAAAATATTTGATTCATGATAAATGTTTTACATAGATACTTATCTCCCTATTTGTATTCTTGTATGAGTGTGTATGCACATATACACACACACACACACACAAAATCATCTATTGCTGTGAAAAGATGGGTGTGAAGAAGACAGAGGGCTGCAAAACTCAATCTTCCTGATGAAATCATGTCAAATTTTAATTTTTTTAAAGATGTTGATGGACTTTTATTCTTTTATTTATATACAGTGCTGAGACTAGAACCCAGTGCCTTACACATGCTAGTCAAGTGCTCTACCGCTGAGCCACAACCCCAACCCCCCAGCTTTTTTGTGGTGCTGGGGATTGAATCCAGGGCCTTGTGCATGCAAGCACTCTACCAACTGAGCTATATCCCCAGCCCCTTTTCTTTCAATTTTTTAAAAAAAATATTTATACTTATTTATTTTTGTTTTCAGCGGACACAACATCTTTGTTTGTATGTGGTGCTGAGGATTGAACCTGGGCTGCACATATGCCAGGCGAGCGCGCTACCACTTGAGCCACATCCCCAGCCCCTTTTCTTTCAGTTTTAAAGCAGATTGATCAGCACTCCCTCAGTTTTGTCTGGGCTCCACTTCCTTCCCCAGCAACCTCCTGAATGCCCTCTTTACCTCCTTGTTCCTCAGAGTGTATATGAGTGGGTTAAGTGAAGGAGTACCCACTGCATAGAAGAGGCCAAAGAACTTGCCCCTCTTTTGGGCATAGGGATTTTTGGGCTGGAGGTAGACAGCAATGACTGAGCTGTAGAAGAGGGTAACCACAATGAGGTGGGAGGAGCAGGTCCCAAAAGCTTTCCTCCTGCCCCTTGCAGAGTTAATCCTCAACACTGCCTGGGTAATGGCTCCATAAGAGATAAGGATGAGGCTGAGTGGCACAACCAAAATGAAGACACTGGCTACAGCCATCTGGATCTCATTGTAGGTGGTGTCCCCACAGGAGAGCCGAATTAAAGCTGGGACCTCACACACAAAATCATCCACCTGATGGTGGGGACAGAAGGGTAGGTGGAGGGTGGCTGGTGTCTGGATTACTGACTCCACCAATCCGATGATCCAGGCAACAGCTGCCAGCTGCAGGCACAGGCGGGGGTGGATGATGGTGGCGTAGTGGAGGGGCTGGCAGACAGCCACATAGCGATCAAAGGCCATCACTGTCAGGAGGATGCATTCAGTGGTCCCCAGGGACAGGAAGATGAACAGCTGGATGAAGCAGCCCAGGAAGCTGATGGTCTTCTTGGGGCCCCAGAGGTTGACCAGCATCTGGGGGACACAACTTGTGGTGAAGCAGAGGTCCAAGAAGGAGAGGTTGGAGAGGAAGAAGTACATTGGAGAGTGGAGCCTGGGGTCCAGCACCGACAGCAGGATGATGAGTGTGTTGCCCACCAGGGTGAGGAGGTAGGAAGTTAAGACAACCACAAAGAGAATCTTTTCTAGCCCTGGGTGTTCAGAGAAGCCCAGAAGGAGGAATCCCACTGGGGAGCTTTGGTTGAGCATGGCCTGTTCCTGTTCAGAGCTAGAGGGATGAGTGTGTCAGATTAGTGTGTTCCAGCTTGTTTTGTAAAAACACTCTGGATGCTCACTCCTGGTCAAACGTCTAGTGGGAATGGAATGTGGTGGACAGTGGTCAGAGACCTCGTGCTGGTGCTTCTGACTTGAGTGAGGGCAAAGGAGGCTGATGTCAAATGTGGATCCGTTAACTCATTCTTTCAGCAGAGGTTTATTGGGTGCCGATGTTCTGAGTGCTTTTCTAACTGTTGTTCTTAATTTATTTGTTGGAATAAATAGCAAATAAATATATTTTGAATGAATGTTCTATATATATATATATATATATATATATATATATATTATTTCTGTCAGCTTGATTATTTCCTTATTGGTTGGATGAATTTTGTAGAACTTCATATTCTATTTTATACTTCATTTGCAAGGGAGCTTATCTGAGAGAGAATGCATTATCTATGGGAGAGATTTTCTTTCATTTTAAGAGATCCACACTCATAGCAAGATCAATTCAGTTGCCCGGGCCTCTTTAGCAACCTAAGTCACTCAGCTGACTGATTAGGAAAATTGCTTAGTTCCAAGGGAAGTTTACCAGCGGGAGGTGAGAATGGCCCCATACATGTTAAAAATACTGAGTTCATAGCATTATGAACAAGAATAACTTTTTTTTTTTTTTTTTGTGCTGAGAATTGAACCCAGGGATACTTTACCCACTGAGCTACATCCCCAGCCTTTTAAAATTTCTTATTTTGAGACAGATTCTTGCTAAATTGCTTAGGTGAATTTGCGATCAGTCACCTGAATTGCTGGGATGACTGGTATGCAGTACTGTGCTTGGTCTTAAAAATAACGAAGTCAATCTGTGTGATGCCCACCACCCAGGTTAAGGAACTGAACAAATATTTCAGAGTCTTTGAAGCTCTTATGTACTCCTCCCTGACTTCTTAATTTTCCACTTCCAGCACAGAACTACCTTTTGAATGTGTTCCTTTGTTTGCTGAGACAGGGTCTTGCTACGTTGTCCAGGTTGGGCTTGAAATCCTGGGCTCAAGTCATCCTCCTGCCTCAGCCTCCCAAGTGCTGGGACTCCAGGTGTGCACCACTGTGCCTGGCTTTGAATTTTTAATTCTCTCTCTTCCTCTCTTTCTTTTATTTGAGATAGAGTTTACATACCAAACTTAAGAGTTTTCAAGTATATTCACCAGTTATGTAATTAAACACCACCTACCTCCAGAACATTTCACATCACCCCAAAAGAAACTCCATGCCTGTCAGCAGCCACCCCTCATTTGTTTTCTTTGAAATATATAATTCTTTGTATGCAACTTAAACAATAGCCAACTATTTCTTATTCATTGGTCAACTATTATCCTAATCAGTTTTCTGCATTTTTAAATTGGTTATTCTCTTTAAATTGGTTATTCATTTACTTCACTCTCTTTCTCTACCTTATTTCTGGATATTCATAGGTTACATCTTGTTTTTTGGGGGGTGGGGGTGGGAAGGAGTACTGGGGATTGAACCCAGCAGTGCTTTACCACTGAGCTACCTTCTCAGTTCTTTTAATCTTGAGACAGGGTCTTGCTTAGTTGCTGAGGCTGGCCTCAAACTTGTGATGCTCCTGCCACAGTCTCTGGAGTAGTTGGGATTACAGGCATCTGCCAATGCACCCAGTTTAGATTATATCCGTTTTAGGGACTCTGTACTTTTTTCTCTTTTAAACTCTTTCATTTACTACTTTTCTTATAATAATTCTTCTTCATATACATTCATTTATTGGTTTGTGCTTTTATTTGTTTCTTGAGACCATAGTACCAGGATTGTGAGAAGATCCGGGTTAGGGATCCTCCCTAAAGGGGTCTACGATAGTTCCATAGTCATTACCTGCCATTGCTATTGGTGGCTACTGTATGTTAAGTGCTTCCTATGGGCCAAGTGTGGTACTAAGCAGCTCCCTGAACCTTTGGTTCTCATAGCAATCTGCAAAGAAGATATTATTCCAGTTTTACCAGAGTAAACAGTTTCAGAAAAGATAACAACTTTCTAAAGTCACCTAGTCAATAAGTGCCAGGATAAGATTCTAGAGACTTTTTTCCAGTCTTGGGCGTTCAGAAAAGCCCAGAGGGAAGGAGCCCACTAGGGAGCTGTGGTTGACCATGACCTGTTCCCGTCCAGAGCTAGAGGGATGAATCTGTCAGGTTGATTAAATGTGTCTTATAAAAATCCCTCTAACTCCAAATATGATGCCTCACTGTTGTGGAAACTGATAGCTCACAGGAGAACAAAAACCATTTTACTTACCGTTAATCAAAGAAAAATCTCTTTGCTGCCAGCAAACAACCATGACAAAACTCGTAGCTGGCACTTAGTCTCCACTTGGACATCAAGAAGATAACTAAAGGGCTGGTGATGTAGCTCAGTGGTAAAGTGCCTGTCTAGCATGCATTAGACCCTGGATAAGATCCCTATCCCTGAAAAACAAAACAACTGAAAATTAAGAAGAATAGGCATCATTGGGAAACTAGATCTCTGGTTCTAACAAGAATTGCTAATATTTACTAGCAAGCACTTTTGAAGCACTTCTATATGTGATGTGCTAGAGCTGGCTCATGCTATCTTTTGATTATTAAATTTTCAGAAATTTTTTGAGATACTTATTAAGCCATTGGTAGCTTGAATCAGCTACAGGAGGAGTATTTACACTATGGAAATGGACATCACTACAAATTGGCTCTGCCTCCCCCAACCCAACTGGTTGTTAAACATTTACCAGCATACCTCTGATTGTCCTTCACAACTCTATGTGTTAGTATTATCTTTCCTTTAATATGAAGAAATTGAGGCAAAGAAAATTTA